TCTCTGTCGATCCGGCCCATTGACACTGCCACCTTTTTTTAACCATGTTATTTATTGCATTACGAGCTTTCTTTATGTACATCATATTACATCACCCAAGATCACGTCTGTGAAAAGTTGCAATAGTACAAACGGGACGAGAAACGAACAAAAAAATTTTCATCGAAAAAAGGCTAAATTTGTAATTGTTCAAGAGACTGGTAAAAATATCTTCCTCTTGTGATTTACTCGATAACGATGACAATGGAATAGATGATCTACAGAAGCATCGGTCTTATTGCCACCATCAACTCTCTACAAAACATGCACTTCCATTCAAATTGGACAAGAAATAGCTAAAAATCCTGTCTTGAGTTCTGCATTGTATTTCATTGGTATGGCTGCACTAAATTATCGATTAGGTAATAAGGAGAACGAAATAGATAGTATAACTGAACCAAATTGTCATATTTTAGAACTGTCAGTGGTTGCACCACCATTATCAGGCCTAGGCAAAATTAATGTATTAAATTTAGTTCAGCTTGGTGAAGGAAGATGCACATCTTTTTCTTATGATGCGCTCTTTCAAAACGAAACGGTCAATTCGTCAATAGCCTGATGAATACTCGTTAAAATCAATCATAATTTAATTACAATCGTTTTGCATGGATAAGGAGGGAAGTTTCCGTTATTGGTCTGAAGAAAATATTTAAAATAAACATCTGGGTCAATGGAATAAGCATTCCACGAATTTATAGATCAAATGCTGAAAAAAAAATTGGCAAGACGAATTAAGAAATTTGCATGAATGATGGCAGGGGCAGGAGGATTTCAATAAAAACGTACAGCGAAGACCAATGTTCTAAAAATAATTGAATAAACTTTTTTTAAACAAAAAACATTAGGTACCTTATCACAGGTATTTGTCTTTAGGCCAAGTAAGCCAATCTCAATTTGTCCTTTAGTTTAGAGCGGATTTCAGGATTCGACTACTTACGTCATAAACTAAGGAAATTATAACAAAAATATATTTTGGCTTAAACGTTGGATAAATTTCTCTCGGAACTATAAGTGTCCGGTTGATCTTCCAATGTCCAATGCACATCTTCCCATACCAATTGAAGCCTGGCCATTTTCTGAGCTATGGTAAGAAGAGGTCCACGTGCCGGGTGCCAGGCCCTGAGGTTATGTTCTTTGAGCCTTCTTCTTACAGTCCCGGAGGAAATCGAAATATTTCGGTCTTGTCTTATCAGATTTCTTATACCGAAATGATGACGGATGAATCTATCGTCTGTCTCGTCTGTAGACCCAGGTCGACCCGGTACTGGCCTCCAGTGTGAAGCCCTGTTTCTCTGGAGCGCCGAAGAACCTTTTCTATTGTAGAGTGATTTACACTCAGTCTCCTGGCGATGCTGTAGCATTCCTCTAATAATGTTGTGACCCTGACAATGTCATACTCACTCAAATGTCTGATGAGCCATTGTTAAAGGTTTAAAAGAATAAGAATAATATCAAATCAACAAAGGAAAAAGATTCACTGAAAGCGATTTTTAGGCGTAGCAGAGTAAGTTATCAACTCAAATATATCAAAAAGTGACACAATCCCTTTGTATATGTCAACCTTCATGGATTTATCAAAGGGAAGAAATGTTTTTTCTTTTTTAAATTGTAATAAATATAAAAGTTCTAAGAGGCGAGGAATGATGTTTTCTTTTCGTGTCCTTCCTATATTTGAGCTAAGTGTAGATAATAAATTTCTAGAGTTAGAATCTGTGAAAGACCGAATCGAGCCATTTTATTTAAGCATTGGTGGAAAACTAATTGCCTGGATGAGGTTAGACTCTGAGTCACGAGTCACCCACACTTGTACTAAATTTGGACGTTTCCCTCTCCAAGTTGCACGGGCGTCTCAGATTGGGTTACGTTTTTCAACAGTTTTTTTCTCTTCGGTAGAATCGGGATTCTAACTTAAATTTCAAATTTATTTCACCATTCCAAGATATCATCAGATTAACTTTACCGTTAAAGAGGCCTGCCTCATTTCAGTTTCAGTTTGACCAAATTGGACAATTCAAATTGCCTAATAATAATAAAATTAACCTATTTTTCTCTTATACAATATTAAAATCATTGTTTTGAAATTCTAACTGACTCAATAACCTGGTTTTATATTAAATAAGTGTAAGTGATATAAGGTTAAACGTTTTGAGCCTAAATCACATTTATTATGAAAAAAATTATACTTATATAAATGATATTCAAAAATTGTACAGTTTAATCGAAATAAGGTCAAACCTTATAAATAAGTCCCGTATCACAAATTTAGACCCAAATCGTTCACTGTCCGACAATAAACGCGCCTGGTTATTGTCACTGAGTCTCAATCAAATTTATCCACCTGCGTTTCGAATAAATAAGCTCGTAAACAAATGTAAAAATAAACGTGATGTACGTTTTATTTAGACTTTGAACACTTTGCTCTGAATGCCGTCTTATATTACAGCAACTAATTTAAAGAGAAAATATAAATTTTATACTCTGCCAATTTGTGTACATTGGAATTGGAACATAGCTGAATAGCACAATGTTTAAGCTAAATGATTGTTGGAAAATTCAAAGCTTTGAAAAACTGTTTTCTCCCCAAACTTAAAAAAAAAAAAAAAAATACGGGATAAAACTGAAGTTGGCTGGCAAAACGGCCAAAGACGAAGATGGCGTCCGATCCTAACTCCAGATCAACAATAGATATAGTGGAGATGACTTGATTGGATCCACCTGCTGAGTCGAACAAACACGTTCACACAAATCTTTCTGTCTTTCGGAATTTTAAGGGATTGTCAGTCTGTTAGAATAGCCGAATAGTAAATATATGTAAATGTAGATTTAATGTTCGGGGTTGTGTAATATACTGTGCCCATTGAGAGCTATTGTATCCACGTTCTCTACTTATAGCACGCCAGTGAGTCCTAGTACATGAAGAAATTTTATTAGCAGGCCCGGTTTTAGTGGTTAATTCCTTCTACGGTAACATTTTACATCTCGAAAAATTTCCCCCTGCGGGCAAATGTGGCGCGACAGGTTGTTAGGGTGTTGGTGTCTCTTCTGCTTCTTTGCAGAATCTGCAGGTGCCATGTTGGACAATGCCAAACTTCTTCAGATGCCCATACAGTCCGCGGTGTTCTGTCATGTTTTGAAGTTTTTTTTGCTCCCTTTGATGCATTCTTTTGTTTCGTCCTTCCAAAATTTACTAAAAGGTTCTTGGATTGTTTATGTTCAATGAGTGAATTCTACTGTTTCCTCATTTTCAATTTGTCTTTTTGCTCTGAGATATTCATTCTTAGCGTGAATCCCTATTCCACAGATGGGTTCAGGACCTCTCACGGTTCCAGGACGGAATACTCCTGCCCATGTACCTTCCTGTGTTCTAAATCCGTCATTGTACCGGCTGATGGTGCCGTTCTCAACGGAGGGGGTTTCCCTCTTTCCAATTCTTTTTTTTTGGTACTTAAACTTCGAAATTTCGCTTGTACTCAAACATCCTGTTTTGTCGTCTCTTGGGGCCATGAGTATCGGATGTTCTTTCATGGCTGTTACTATCTATCCATTTTAGCCTTGATGAAGGTTTCTCTTTGATAATGCTAATAATAGTTTTCTTAATTAAATATGTCTATATTTAGAGAATATAATATGTAATTAAAATTTAAACAGCTCGACCTTCCTGATTGGACTGTCCTTTTTTATTTACATATTAGGGAAATTGGTGGGAAATGTGTAAAGTGTGCTTCTTACGACGAGGGAGTTTGGATCGGGACTTCCCCCTTCAGGATACCACTTCTCTTCGGCTCTGGTCAATTCATGTGTGGGTAAATTTGTTAAAAAGTGAAAATAAAACACATAAGCACACGGGTTCAAATATGTCATTTTGTATACATATAACATTCTCACGGAAATATTGATACAACGAAATAAATTACAAATTTAATTCATGCCTTCCAAATGAGGACATATGAAAAAGACCAGGCACCTGTTATTCCAAATATTCTGAATTATACATTCTATTTTATAGTGTAGCCTATATACAAACTAGATTAATCTCAATACGTTAACCTTTGAACTGTGCAAATATAAAGTTATAGCCATTTCCAAATCTTGATTTCATCTTCATTTTTGGCAAAGGGGAAGCATTTACGGAGGACGGGTGCAAAAATAACTATCTGTAATTGGTTTAAAAAAAACACAGTGGGTTTTTTCCACAAATTGAAATTTATTATTTAAGTGTGGTGTTTAGTGACCGTTACTTGATTATTATTATTTGGAGGTCGTGAGATGCGGTCTGGTGTGACGTAGGTTATTATTTTCAATTTCATGATACCTGTTACGCCACTCATGTAGCCAATTAATTAAGTAAAAGTCCAAAAGTTACTTTGCTATCAGGATACCACTTACGTAAACGTTTATCTCGAAATGTAAGATACTATTATAAAAATGAAAATTTTCCAGTTCAATCTCTCAACCGTTTTTTAATTTTTTTAGGAATAACGGATTTTAACCATAAAGTTGTTCCCTGATAAATTTAAAAACAGTACCTAATATTATTATTATTAACTGAGTATTATTACATATTATTATCAGCGCCACGAACGTCTAAACGCTTTTTCATTGCGTTTCTACCAAAATTCCCAGGACAGAAATCAAATATGACGACTTTATTTTACAAATCTTTTTAAAACAAATGAGAATTATTTAACAGAAAATTAGAAAATTTTATCTCAACAACTAAACTGCACACTTTGGCTCTCTCAGATATTGTCATAAATATAAAAATAATTGATGTGCAATACCTCCTACGTCCCAGGGTGCAGATGCCAAAATTGGGCGACATGGTTCTATTTTTTGTTGATGTTTCGTTATTATAAAACAATCCAAAAGTTGGATTCCTCGTTTAATAGCCGTTCAGACTTTTTTTTCCAAATGTTTCATTTATTGAACGAAAAAGGAGAAGATTTTATTTATTATTTTCATTCAAAGGACCGACGAGAAGGGGAAATGCTTGCTGTTATAATATCACCAGCGCTATTAGTGTCCTGAATTGAGAGATTTTTGGACCCGACTGGTAAGCTACAGTTGCTATATGTATAATCCGTTTGGTGTATTTATGTCTCAGTTTTGCGGTCGCCCTCACTGAAAATAGAGCACAGCCCAAATATAGACACGACCGTCGACTCATCGAATAGCTCTGGGCCAGCGGCAAGTGATTGTCTTTCAAAATTCAAAATGATTTCTACAATCTATCGATGTTGAGTTTCTGTCGAACTATGGAATCGTTATGATTCCAGCGAGATTTATCGTCCGACGATGATTCTATAAGCGATAATATCCTGCTTTTTTAAAAATCTCTATCAAAGCCAAAAATATACGTCCAATCATATTTCGCTGTGATACTTTCACATATCTTTAAAACACTAAATACAAGTATTATGTCTTACCGTTTCAAAAAAAGATTATCCGATTCCTGATTTTCTATGTCTTCGGTACATAACGATATCTTGTTTTCGTTTCTGAAATTCAATTTCTTCTTCACAGCAAATCTTTTGGAACTTTTTCCGTGTTTGTAGGCATATTTTCGAACACATTTTGCATTGTTCACAGACACCTTTGAGAATACTATCACCAGGGAGAGAAGCGAGTAACTGACCAGAGTTGGGCGCTGCGCCACTATATTTAGACGGCTCGCTCCTGGGTTTTGAGTGGGTGTAGCTCTTCTACTCGATGTCAAGACATATTTATAATTATTATTTAATTTTGCTGCTTTTGTCCCTTGAAATCTGTTTTCTATATTTATCTAATACCTTTTAATTAATTCCAATTTGAATAATATTCTTAAGATGATTTACAGCCATATAATTTTCACAAGGTGTCAAAATATATCGCCGAACGTTAAATTAGTGCTTAATTAGGTATAACAGAAGGTATATGTTCTAAATGTCGGTCCTGATGAGAAACGATATTATTCTACTAAATCTAAAATGGTACTTAATAGCAAAAGGATCGAGTAAAGGGTGTTGTCTTCAAACCAAGAGGTTAAAATGGTCTTGAATATCAGTGCTTTCCCTCTCTGATTTAAAATCCAATATATTCATACATCGTATGTATTCTATATTCTGTTGGTACTGTGCACACTGTTTTTTCCAAATAACTAATGAATAAAATTAACGCACCACACTTAAATGTTAATATATTTGGGTCTATTCATATTTTCCGTACAAAAGTAGGTTTGGTTGCAAAAATAGTACATTTAAAAAGGAAAAAAAATAATACGAAAAAGTAAAATGTATATCGCCATCGATTCAGTTGGTCTTCATTAACTGAGTGCAGCGTAGCAGCATCTATGGAGTGAAGTTCCTTATGAAATTAGTGATAACCTTATTAACAGTATGCTTAACAGGTGCACAGAGGTTTTAGCTAACAAAGGAGCATCATACGGTATTAATTGTTTTAAAAAATTATTTTGTCCAATAAGCAAAATTATGGAATCGAAACCTTTTATTTTGTTATTTTTCAAAATCCCTTAATCAAATTTTCCTTCAGTAAAAAGCATAATAATTTCTAATAAATTTTAATGCGATTTATATTAAAAATAAAATAAAAATTCCAGGGAAAGTAAATACTACAAAATTGGCAATATCCTTATTCATTTTTGAACAATTTCGAATGATCTTTTACTACAGGTACATTGAGGAAGTTCTTCTGGAAGCTGTGGTCCCACTGCTCCATTTACTGGAGACATGATAATGCTCGACCGCAATAAGCTCGAGTTGCCACCCATTACTTGGAGAATGTAAGGGTTAGTACAATGAATTGGCCTGCGTCAATCTTATAGACCAATTATGGGACATCACAAAGAGAATGGTTAGACATCGTTCGCCGCCTCTAACAAGCACTGGACAGCTTCAAACCGATCTTGAAGAATGGTATCCTGTTGTCAAGGCCTTCGGCAAAGCCAGAGGAGGTCATACACGGTATTAAGAGCAACAACAGGTAATAAATTTTTAGTTAAATTTTAACCTATCCCTTAATAATTGCCTGGTGTTTTAGTGAATTTTCTTTCAAACAATCAAGGTTATGATTTACATTAAAATAAGTATACTGTAATTAATATAACAATAAAAATACATACAGTTGGAAATATAGAACAAAATATAAATTCTTTTTATATATATATTTTTTAGCAAATAGAGTAGCTAATCAATATGTTGATTGTTTTACATTTTTCATTTGCTATTGCACATATCTTCATTCATATCCTCATATGTTTGTAATCGTAATATCATCTAGTATCAATTGAGTACATTTAACAGAAAATTGAAACCAAAAGTGACACAACGTTGTACATAAATAAGAAATTTATTTTATTACTCTAGGCGAAATTATGACAATTAGAACTTAATAGAAATCACCCAATGTATTAAAAACGAATGGTTCTTTTCAATCGTCTTTGAAATTAAGATGTTAAAACGGGGTAAAATTTCGGTATTTTCGTTTGGAATTTTATCTTTTTGGAAAATTTCCAATTTCAGAGATACTCATTTCGCAGATAAATTAGTCGATTTAAATGGAAACTATCAAAAAGGCTAGTTCTCACGTTTCAAAATATATCAATCTGTCAGTGTTTGCAGTCCCTGTTCTGACGCTTATTCTTTAATAATTTGTATGGACCCCTCCTTTCCTTCTGAACATTTGTCGAAAGGTGTTCTTGGCAAGACTACAACATTCCTGAGAGAGAGATCTTCGAGCGGCAACAAAATATCTAGCAATATTCATGAAATTGACATGTGTTTCAATGAATATGCGAAATATGCCTCGGTTCAATCAATTCTGTCGAGTAAGATGACGGTATTAAGGCATTGAATAATTTTTTTTAATAGCCGATGAAGCTTTCTCGTAAAATTATTAAAACTGAAGATGAAGGGGTTTGATTTAATAGCGGAGTTTCGTCACATGGCCATGATCAATGGGATAAGAATCTACAGAAAGCTTTACGATCAGATGAGGCCACGAGTACTCAGGTACGTGTCAGGAAGAGTAAGTTAAAATACACGTTTGCTACCACACGACAACATGTTACAGTCTTTCAATAAGTACACGTGATATGATATTTAAACACTGTGCACTGATGTGCAATGCATTATCGCATTTAGTGAAAAAGACCGAGAAGAATCACACAAAAGCGTGCATCGTATCACCGACCTCATAATAAATGCAATAGCTGTTGAAAGCTTCAGAGGCATATTCTGGTCACATCCAGCTGGAAGAGGAAAAGCGTAAAGACTGGTAATCAAAGAATCCCTCCAGAATTGATTAAACAGGAACTGACCGAACTTAGGCCAAAACCTGCGAAATATTTCACCTGTAATACACCCAGCCACCAAACATGCCTTACCATTATTCTTTGTGGATCTTGATCCCAATTCGAACAACAAAGACTTTTTGGCATGACTACTCTTTGTTTTGCGAGGGTAAATATGGAAGAACCCCACGATAACGTTTAATAGTGCAATGCAAACGTTGTCAAGAATATGGGCACACGGAACCAGTGATGGCGAGCACATGACCCAATACTGAGCCCCTTATCACTCACGCCGTCTGTGCATTTTGCAACGGACGAAATCCGGCCAATTACAAAGGTTGTATTGTCAGCGTCTATGAAGACCACCGCCATTCAATGTGCATCCGACAACCCAGTGGAAAGCTTCGCAGCCAGTGACAGTCAACCTCAGAACTTTTGTTTTCTAAGTTCCGTCACGAAACCTGTGTTCCATGTTGTGTCATTAATTTAATCCAATAATGTTGTACATTATGTAAATTTCTATTAAATGTAGAAGAAACTCTGCTGATGTTAATTGGTGAGCACTTTCCAGGGTCGATAATAATACCCGGAGAGTCCACTAGCTTAGAAAGTCGGTGGAATAGTCCCTCCAAAGAGGACTGAAAGGAGGCGGCTAATATAGCCAAACAAGAGAAAATCAGATGGGCCCTTAATGGATTTCTCCCCTATAAATCCTCAGGTGTAGGCAATCCTTGGATAGGATATACCCTATACTACTACAGAAATGGCAGGAAGTATTTATACCATCTCTGGTAAGAATCTTTAGGGCCTCCCTAGCCTGAAGATATCCACTGTATGGAGGAAGGTGAAGGTGGCCTATTTGCCAAAAGTGGGTAGGGCCACAAATCAAACACCTAGTTCATACAGACCTATCAGTTTAGACAGAAGACAATAGAGAAACTGATGGAAACTATATTAGGAGCACATCACTGAAAACTAACCCACTCCGTGCTAGGCAATATACATATCAGACAGGGAAGATTTAACAATGCCACGACAATCCCTGGCCTATGCTCTACGTAAGAAAGGATCTCAAAATCCCTTTGTCAATGTGTGGAAGAAATCTAAGGAAGAGAATAATTTTATATACCCTGGGTGACACACAATAAGGGTGAGAACAACCGGAGGCTGCCCTCAGGGTGGAGTTCTGTCCATTACTGGGCCAGTATTGGTTCCTGATCTCCCCAAAATGCTCTCTTACGAAGGCTTTGCTTGCTTAAGATATCAGATCTGACGGTAGTTATGAATGACGGGATGAAAAGGGCACTTGGAGGAGTTAAGCCCCTTAGGCTAAATGGAATTAAAATTCCTTTCTCTACAGAGGCGAAATATCTGGGAGTCATCTTCGACCAGAGACTTTCATGGAACAACATCTAAACAAAATCACACAAAGAGCAAATATCGCCGTTGGCAAATGCAAACGCCATTGTGGTAATTCAGTTGGAGACTGAATCCAATTATGTCCATATGGCTATACACAGCGGTTGTTAGACGTATGATAGCCTACGGGTCAGAGGTTTGGTGGACAAAGACATTACAGCTAAGGGCGGTCAAGATCGTCAGTGCAGCTCAAAGACTGGGAGCAATGAGGATAATCCCGACGGGTGCCCTGGAAGTCCTTTTGAATCTACCATCACTATGTCTTAATCCAAGGAGAGGCCAGAGCCACAATTCATAGGCTAATGGAGGGACAGGCTCCAATAACCTACTCACATAACAAGGAGCAACTAAAGCTTCGAGGGTAGCTTCAGTTAGAAGAAATCTGAGGACCCGTAAATTCAGGTGATAAAAAATGTCTAGTTAAAATACCTTCTAGAGCAGACTGGGAGAAAGGGATCCAGTTAATGCCGACCATATGTGGTTTACAGATGGCTCCAAAACCGAATTTTGGTCAAGAGTATTTATAGAAATAAACCAAGGCCTAGAATTCATATATGTCATATACAATATGTCACCGTCTTTCAAGCGAAACTGTGGCTATTGAACACTGTGCCAAGGAGATAAAAAGGCTGGGTATTGTCAATAGAAGAACAGCCCTCTACTCGGACAGCCAGGCGGCACTGAAGCAATTGCCACGTCAGCGGTAAAGTGCAAAGTCATTTGGGACTGAATTAGAGCCCTGTCAGACATTGGGGAAAATAATAACATTACCCTTGTCTGGCTAATGAAAAGGCCGATAAATTGGGAAAGGAGAGTTCGATCAAGACACCTATTGACCCTACACCCTTTTGTGGCTTATCAAACTGCCAAAAATGCGGTTCCATTAGAAAATGGATTAAAAATAAGTCCTCCGTTAAATGGGAATGTAGCCCGGAACAAAGGCATGCAAAAAAAGTTTATCAAAGGACCATGGCAGAAACTAACGGCAAAACTACTAAATCTGCTAGGACTAAAACATTAGTTGAACTGCTGACTGGACACTCCAGACTCCGGAGGCATATATATAGACTCGGAGTGACAGAAAAAAAGCCTGCAGATATTATATTCCAAGAAGTAGAAGAAACAGCGGAACATGTCCTCTGTTGGTGCAAAGGCCTATGTAGGCTGAGATTCCTATTCCTGTGAGTCCTTTAAAAGCTTTGGGGTACGGAAAAAAGCCTTACGCTTAACGAGGAGCCCTTGATAAAAAAGAAAGAATAGAGATGTACAATAGACCAAATGGTTTTTCGTTACATTCCAGACCTACGTGTCCGGGTACCAAGTCAAAAAACACGGTTTTGCCAAGAAGCTCCAGTTCATGGTATCTGTCCAATGAGAGCACCATGAGACGGGCGATGTAAAACCTGCCACGGACAGCACTAACCGCGCTGAGGGTCGGTGCAGAGTAGATCATAAGAGTAACCGTCGTCTCGAATCACCTCAAGAGAGTGCCAAATTCCAAACAATTCCGCACGCATCACGCCACACCATGGCCGAACTTACACCGGTCAATGAAGACGGGCCGAAAACCGCTGCACCTCCATTTAACTTCCAAGAACCTAATTCGCTAAGGATATGACTGAATATACGACTTGGCTTACACGAGATCGCCCTGGACGATTATGGCCAGGATGGCCCAGGGCAGAGTCGGCCGGTTGCCCAGCTCGAGTACCGTTCCCAGTGTCATCCCCACCCTCTCTAAGGCTTCGATGCGGCTTGGTGTCCAGTGATTCTCAAGCAGCTACGAAATAAAAATTGTCCACATAACTTGTATAGGTTATCAAAAAGTTATTTTTCGGAGAGGTATCCGTCAATTAACACCAGCACTGCAAAGGTTATTAGGAGGCAGGAGAAGGGATGTCCTCAGGGATCGTGCTGAGGACCAGGATTCTGGACCATAATGTATGACTCCGTCCTAAAACTCGACTATCCTCCGGATGTTGAGGTGATAGCCTTCGCTGACAACCTATTAATTTTACCTTCGGGGAAATCGCCATTTGAAGCTGAGATAAGTGCTAACCGAAGTGTTTTCTGGTAGAGAAATGGGCAAACTGCAATACAATAAAATTTAATCCAGATAAGTCAAAAACCATGCATATTCATGGCAAAAAAGAAAGAATTGACTTACAAATATACTATTGGGAAGGCGACTGGAACAAGTCGATCATCTGAAATACTTCGGAGGTGTATTCGACATAGACTTTATTTGGAACCCTCATATAGAGATGATATGCGAAAAAGCATCACAACTCATAAATGCTCTTTCACGCTCTGCCAAGGTTTACTGGGTGATAGCTTGGGATGCACTATCGCCGATATACAAGGGCGCAATACTCCCTCTGCTTACATGTCAGGTTTGGGCAAAAGCCGTGGGAAAAAAATACAATGTTAAAAAATTGCGAACTGTTCAACGGAGGATCCTACTCAGAAGGATTAAAGGTTACCGCACTATTTCGTTTAACGCTGTATGCATTCTGGCTGGCGGGGAACCTATAGACCTGAAAATCAAGGAAGTGGTGGAAATCTGTAAGGTGTGTGATATCATAGTCATCATGGGAACATATGTCCTGACTACCAGACGGACACACACCTCCCCCGGTTCACACACTCTTGCATCCACAAACAGTTGAAGTGATCTGATCAAGAAGAAAATCAAAAAGACAGTTACTTCAACGTATACACAGATGGGTGTAAAACAGACACGAACATGGGATGTGCAGCAGCTGTTCACTCATTCAATCGATAAAATACAAATTAGCGGATTGGTGTTCCAACAATCAGGCAGAACTTTTAGCCATAGAGAAAGCACTGGACTGGATACAGTTTCAGAATGTAAGACCAGGAGATAAATCAGTTGTAATACACACAGACAGTCAAACGTCGCTTAATACACTCAGACAGAACACCAAATTGACAGGGACTGCTTTTAATATAAAGAACATCTTGAAACTCCTAAAAAATGAAGGAGGAGGGTTTCGTTCCGATGGGTTAAGGCGCACGTTGGTACAGAGGGAATTAGGAAGCAAATCATCTGGCAAAAGAGGCAGCAGCATGAAATACTACGGTCATAATCTCAAAAATACCAAAGAGCTATGTCGAAGCAATGGCCAAAAATAAGTGCAGCAGAATTTGGAACGAAGAATGGGAAAAAATCGGTACCGGTTCCCCTACATAACAGTACTTTCTTACAGTAAAGTCCCGTCTCGCAGCATCCTTTCAACAAGGCTGCAGTATGACCCAGGTTTTGAGTGGTCATGGAAAGATTAAGAGCTACCTTTATAAGTTTAATATCATCGATAACGAGATATGCACGTGTGCTCAGCAAGTCACTCAAACCTGGGATTATGTGTTTTCCTGCTCGCATTTTGAAGGACCAAGAAGCCGATTTATGGGAAAGGAGTGTGGCCGCCAAACAAAACCGAATTGGTGACTGTCTGCCTCGAAGATTTTCAGCGCTTTGTTAGGGAAGTGGATCTGGACGATCTTCTGCGATTCCAAATGCAGATATATGTGATAATTAACTTGCCTGTAAACTAAAAAAAACTCTCTCTCTCTCTCACTCTCCCTCCCTCTCACTCCCCTCCTTTCCTCTCTATCGCTCCTCCTTCCCTCCCTCTATCACCCCCTCCCACCGTCTCTCTCACACTCTCCCTCCCTCTCACTCCCCTCCTTTCCTCTCTATCACCCCTCCTTCCCTCCCTCTATCACCCCCTCCCAACGTCTCTCTCTCACACACACACTCTCCCTCCCTCTCCCTCCCCTCCTTTCCTCTCTATCACCCCTCCTTCCATCTCTCTCTCTCCCTCTCTCTCCCTCTCTCTCCCTCTCTCTCCCTCTCCCTCACCCTCTCCACTTGGTCAGTCACAGATATCCTTGCAGAAAATCATTCAGCTGCTCATGCTTTCTTGAACCGCCTGTTTCCTTGTCTTCCTTGATGGTTTTATCTAAATAGAAAAATCCAATTCAGATTTATATATATTAGTTTTATAGATTTTATCTTCGGTTCCTTGTGAAATCGCTGCTGGTTTTCTATGAACAACAAGAATTAAAATTGCAAACGGAGATAATTGGGTAAATTGGCTTAAACCTACAAAGTAGGTTCCAAGAATTCTTTACTCATACAAAAACAATGATGACCATTCTAATTAAGTTTCATTCTTAATAATGAATCATCAACATAAATAAGTCCAACATTGACCATCATAAATAAAAAATGGGGCAAAAACCTTAATACACTATCATTCCTAAATGCAAAACTCGTTTGTATGTATTCATTGCAAAGTTGTAACATTAAAAATATCGATAAATCCAAAATAGGAAAACAAATCAAGGACATCAGTAATAGGCACAAGCAAAATATTAATAAAAATTGTCAAAGAATGGAAGCATTACTAATTCTTCTCTACTTAAGCATATATTCTTTTGCAATGTGTCTTTTCGTGGTGCGCCTCTTCTTGTTCAATTTATCATTCAATGGAACCAAAACATTTAGCATGAGAATCGTTCCTGATCAAACTGTAATCACACCATTGATTTTAGGCTTATGTAGGGGAAAAAGTCTTCATAGTAGTATTATAAAGTCATAATTCAGTATATTTGATCAAATGATGTATATTGAATGTCATTTCATTCTATTTTCTCTGTAAATCGGTCTCATGATCTGTAATATTCCTTGTATTTTTAAGGAAAGGTGCTTTTGTCTATTGAAAATGGCAGTCATAAGAAAAGAAACATCACACAACCGCCACTGATGATGGTGTGATCTTGGGATTAAATAGCTTGGAAAAGAACAGGCGAGCCAAAGCCTTTGAGTAAACAACAACAAACTGCCCAAAATATGCAGAATTGCATGATATTGTTATATTATTTTTACTCTGCCTCAGTGGAAACTTTATTCATTTATTTATAATTAAATGTACTTGTATTCTTTCAAAGGCATGAAATTGCTACGATGCTGAAAAAAAAGTAGAGAGGAAGAGGGAAACAGCTATGTATAAATAGGTTGTACTACATTTGCCAAGTCCTTGGTGGTGGTGATTCACAAAGATAAATTTTATTTTACGTTTTGGCAAATAATAAGAACATTAAAATAGTCTTTTGGTTGTATTTTTAAACATTCATTTATTATTGCACATTTTAAAAACATGACCTTGATAATCAATCAAATAGGATTTTTTAAGAATATTTAAGTATAAAACAGCTAATGGACATTGAATCCATCCATACCTATCCATGAGGTAATGATGCAACATTTTGATGACATGTTTTTTACTTTTCACTATTTACTTTTACAAGGGTAAAAATTATTATGCATATGACCTTAACAGTTCATGCAGATCTTTCTGCTGTCACAAGAGACATTGCAGACTATACCAATTAAGAAGGCCAATTTGATTTAACTTTCTAAAATTCTTTAAATTATTAACTGTATTAATACAATTAAATTAACTGTAACTACTTTATGGTCTCTTGAGACAAAATTATTCTAAATACCAGCATATGTGTAAGATTAATAACTCATATTGAGGAGAATAAGCAGATTAGGAAAATTGGAGGTTTATCATCCAAACCAAAAGGTCCAAACTCCTGCATTTTTGTATTAATTAAAAGATAACTTTGCATTTCCTTCCCCAAGGAGAAATTTGATGCTTATTTTGTCCAACTTTATTTTTTTTTTAACCTGAAATTGCCATAATTATTAACAAGCAATTTATTTATGCAAATGAAAATAATTTTCCATGGAAACATGTTACATTTCAGTGTTTTTATACTGGATTTGTATTACTAAGTAGTTGTAATATAGTGTCAAACATCGCCAAAAAGAAGATATTTTGCGATCATGGATCAAGCACTGAGTAATACAACACTCTCAGTCCGTTCATTAGTGGAATATGAAACTGTTTTTAGTCTAGAATATGGAAATCGTAAGTAAAGGAAATTTGTTAGCACAAAAACCGAACTATCAACCTCAAATATTTCTTTGATAATCAGTCTGCAGAGTTGAGCTCAGTGAACGCTTAAATTCATTATTTCACTGCCAATTGTATAAATTATCTGTATCCTGTTAATTCATATTTTATAATACAAAAAAATGTGCCATATATCGGTAAAAAAATTAGTATAATCCTCTAGCTGGTTGTGAATGTTGGTCTACAAGTTTATAATCATACATTGAACCAGCATTGGGTCATCTACTGGGTCCGTCTACACCCATGGGTGTCTGATGTTACTCAAACATGATTCGGCTTTGCACCATTTTTAGTAAGGGACTCTGTTCTAGATTGTAGTAGTGTTTGGATAACATCAGTCTTGGACTGAGTGTATCCTCTCACGAATTCCTCAACTGAGTCTTGCTGACTGAATCCATCCTCATTTCTGCTGCATCCTAGAATTGACAGACAACTCATTTTGAATTGGACTGTCAATTGTAATCAATTTGTCTTGACCCTTGACAGTTGATGTCGTGTCTTGATTGGGTGTGTTCACTCACCCTCCGTATGGCTGACTCAGGCTGAATGAGTGTCCGACTGAGTTTCATTGACTGACTTATAGTTTTTACTTTTCCAATCTTCCCATTTTACATTTATTTCCCAGCGAGGGTGAAGGGAAGGAAAAGCAAAATTTGGTATGATGGTCTTCTCGCAAGGGTTAGTCATGACCTGGATACACACACCTTGTAATTTGAGGGAATTCCCATTACACAGCTCCCTGGTAATTTGTCAATGGCCCTCCAGCTTAAGGAATACAAAGTCCATCTGGTTGATGTGACCCCAATTTTATGGTGACCCTCAACCCAATGAGCTCTATCATGATATAAGGCAATTTTCCCTTAAAAATCACTCTTTTTTGTTATTTATTGGAGCTATTTGATTGTCATATTTTTACATCCTTCAGATTTTTGTGAAACATTTGTTCCCTATTGGGTTGGTGAGCTGTCAGATTTATAGCTGCATAAAAAAATCCACAATTCTTTACACTATTGCCTTATGTTAATGATTATTTTCAATACATATATTTTAACTTACACTACGTCAGGGAGGCTTTGAACCCAGAACTGTTAGCATGTCAAATGCAAGTAGGACACCATAACTACTTGATCACCACGGAACCCTATATTATATAAATAATTGTTTTACTTTTGTTTATGTATAATTTTCTTTTTTTAGGATATCAGGAAAAAGGAAATTATGATATTCTCTTTATAGCAATTGTGCTTACATCTGCAACCATAGCAAGACTATTATTTGGCACTGCTATTCCAATTCTTTATACGCCATTTATACTGCTGTTTGGTTTTATATGTGGAATAGCATTAAGATGGATTTCCTTACTTAGTTATTTCTCCGGAATAGCAACTGTGCCTTATTCGCTTATCATCGGCATATTTGGACCAATAACTCTCTTTCACTCAGCTTATGGAATTGACTATCACTCTTTGGGTCGTAATATAGGACATGTAAGTATACAGTATGAATACAACATAAAATGTAAAAACGAGGATTTAAAATAGTCAACATATTTTAATACTTTACAATTAATTAAGGTTTTTAGTTGAGATAAAAAAGTCAATGGCATATTTTAATACTACTTTATTAAATGACACCTAATTGCCAAAAGTCTAAATAAATCAAATTATGTATAAGTTAACATCTATTATCAATTAAATCAAGGTTTTTAGTTGAGATAAAAAAGTCAATGGCATGAGCGGGATTCGAACCCATGATATGCGGTTGAGATGGGAAGTTGATGTCCGAGTGGATCGAGGTCACGATAGCTCAAGTGGTAGAGCAGCGGCGTATCTAGCCGAAGATCGTGGGTTCGAATCCCGCTCGACTTTTTTATCTCAACTAAAAACCTTGATTAATTGTAATATATTAATTGGTCAAGCGGACCACGAAATTAGTGAATATAATGATTTGAAATGAAGTATACTTCACTAAAGCTCTCCGTGGCCATTTCATTTGTCGTTGAGAATCCAATCCGATTACACGACATTTGAAAAATGGCAAAAAGGAGGGAAAATTCAAAAGGTGCGGTTGAGATGGGAAGTTGATTTCTGAGTGGATCGAGGTCACGATAGCTCAAGTGGTAGAGCAGCGGCGTATCAAGCCGAAGATCATGGGTTCGAATCCCGCTTGTACCATTGACTTTTTTATCTCAACTAAAAATCTTGATTAATTGTAATATATTAATTGGTCAAGCAGACCACTTTTTTTAACACCTTTGCCAGAATAATTGCTTGTGCTATTGCTAACCTTTTGTAGTTTCCTAGCAAAAGAAATAATTGTTGAGGTATTTGGTGTCAAATATTTTTAACATACTTATTTTTATAGATTTTGTTGCTCGCAATACCAGGAACAATTTTGCATTGTACCATTGTTACATTCCTTGCATATCCTATTTTGTGGGCTGGAAACAAATGGAGTTTTGAAGCAGTATTCGGATTCAGTGTAGTCTTGGCTCCTTTGCAAGCAGAATCAACCATTGCTCACTTAGGCGGAGCTCAAGGCAAGTTTTATACAGGCATTGTTTTCACAGCTAAAATTTCTTGTTTTTCAAATGAGGAAGGAAAAATTACAATTTTTTAAATAAAAAAGACTATTACTAAACCTCACAAACCATTTAAGCCTGTTACATTTTTGTATTCCCTGATTTTTTAAAAACATCCGTACTATTACAGCTTTAATACTAATAGTATCAAATGTTGACAGTAGAATGTTACAAACTATCATTCAAAATGCCAACAATCATATTTAATATCTGAATTTAAAAGGAGGAACAAATAAAACCCATTAAGACGTCAAAAGAAACCTAAGATAAATTTCATAATTGCAAAAAGGTACTCTTATTTTGCAGCCCAATATCACCTGAGGCTAAACTTCAAAGTACTTTTTGTTTTTTCCTGAAAACAGCAAAGTAATCATACTAGGCTTAATCATACTTTCTAAGTAGGCCCAATAATTTTGGATTCTGATTTCATTGGTAATATTTAATTTTTTGTTGTTGTAAAAATTGATAATACTGTCACAAAAGTTATCAGGATTTGTCTGTACGCTTGATATAATAATACAAATCAAACTTACGGTATGAAATAAGTCAATCTTACAAACTTGGAAATAATTTAATGCTAACAAAACTATCTAGGTGTTCTTATATTTGACCTTCACTCTCCACAAAAAATAGTCTGTATTTTAAAAATTTCTATGAAGATGGCCTTATTTGACGGATGATCCTTATAAAAAAATTAGCAGCTTTATTCTCTAAAAATTTTGCTTAAGTCATAAGAACTGAATGTAAACAGCTGCTTGTATAAATGTTTTCACCTTCAATGTGCTTAAGTTTGTTTCATATGTCGGGTTATTTACACATTAAATAAGTAATTAAATATATGAATATTGTGCTAGTAATATCAATATGTATATTAATACATTTTGAATCATCTTCCTTTTCCTTTTTTTTGTAATGTGGTTTCATCATTCGATTATAAATAATTACTATTTAGATGATAATGGAATTATTTTTATTTTATAGGACAAGTGAGGCCACTTCAGTTACTTCTACAAGGCGAACAATTGATTACATTATCTATTTCTCTGTTTATTCACGCATTTCTCATGAAGCTGGAAGAAATTGGCTCGAGAAATGGTAATGTCCTTTTATTATTGTGCCAGTAAGTTTTATTATTTTTAAGATAAACCATTTAAAGAATAGTGCACACAAGAATAAAAAGCACATATTATTTTAGTAACCAAAGAGTTTATTTTATTTAAACACTATTTAATACAAAATACAAACCTAAAATCTTTCCAATTTGACAGAAGAGTAAAATATAGCTATAAATTTAGGCCAAATTAAAATTTGATAATCACAGTCAATTGATTGTCACTAGCATTTTATCTTTATTCTAGGATTACATATATCAATTGGCAATTTAACCTTAATTTAATTAACCTTTTACTGTTTTCTAAAATTTAAATATTATTAATCAAAGGGGCGTCGGTGGCTTCAACGGTTTAGGCGTTGACACGGCACTCATCAGTGTAAGGTAAAGGTCCCGTGTTTGAATCCAGCAGCTATGAATTTGAACCCGACATACTTACAAATGGGCTTTTTTTCAAAAACATCGGCACCCCGAGGGTTGATATAACCTCTGCTGTTGTGAACCCTCGTTAAAAATAATTAATACAGTCAATTATGACTATATGCATATATGGATTAATAAAATAATTACGGAAGTACTTAGCTAACAGCTCCTCGTGGCCACTTCATAAGTTACCAAGCATCAAATCCTGATTACACGATATTTTGAAAATATGGCAAAAAGAGGGAAAATTTGAAAGGTTGTAGGTTGAGATGAGGAGTTGGTGTCCGAGAGGATCAAAGTCACGATAGTTCAAGTGGTTAGAGCAGCGGCGTATTTAGCCGAAGGTCGTGGGTTCGAATCCCGCTCGTGACGCTTGCTTCATCTCAACCAAGACTTTATTTAAAAAGTATAATTACTTTAAATGTATCAAATATTAATCTTAGAAAATATTATTTATTAAATAAAGTTCAATGTTATAGAAATACATGTATATAAATATTTTATATAAATAGATTATTAGAGGATTGATTTACTGTCATCTTTATAATAAATATTATATTACATAGAACTGAATTTATCACAGCAATAGTAAATTAGTAATGATTACTAATTATTACATATTTTAATGAATTTACACAATACTTATTCGTAGTACATAGTTTTGGAAGCATGAACACTCATGCATATCACAAAATATATTATTATTATTTTATCTGAATAACACAATAAACAAAAATAAAATTATGTTTTAATAACAATAGTCACTTATACATGAAACCAACCTCATCTATTTTAATGAGCATATGACACAAAAGTTGATGTTTTGGGAGATTTTCCTTCTTTTACAAATCTGATTGCATGCAGTACTGCAACCGTGTCTAACTCCTGCTGAGTAGTTTGTTCATTGTCTAAACAAATTTTTGAAGCTCGTTCCCCAAATTTTTCCAAAATTTTCACCCTATAATCAATAACCGTTGACAAAGGATTTCCCGTCAGAACTATATACTCAAGTTTTTGTAGATTTGTCATGTGATCGAGTTCATTAATATGTTCTATTTTATTTGAACCTAAATTAATTCCTTGAAGTTCACACAAACACTCAAGCCCTTTTAAGGAAATTATACAGTTTTGAGATAAATCAAGAAAAACTAATTTGGAAAACTTAAGGTTAAGCCCTTCAAATGATGATATGCTGTTTTTTGAAAGGTACAGACGCTGTAGGTTGTCCAATCCCTCAATTTTTGGCATTTGGTAGATTAAATTTGAGCTTAAGCTTAAAGATTCTATATTCGGCAATAGTTTTAACGAGTCATCTAAAATAAAAAATTAATATTAATATCATGGAAGTAAATTATTCAATTAAATTTCAAGCAGTCAGGCAGTTACATTTTGCAATGTACGTGTTGCATGTTATGTTCATCTAACTTCAAAACCCAAAAATTTAAAGGTAATATTGAAAACATAAACACTAATTGTTGATTTTTAATCTGTATCCATAAATACCAAATTGTAAGTCATATGTACATGCATTTGTATTTAAGGTTTATGGTTCATGTTTTCACTCAACATTTTCAGAACGGTTTTTACCAAGATTACAACTGTTCATAAAGTAAGATATTTTATTTCTTATTAGAATCGTAATTATGTAATAACTGGAAGCAAATGGTGATACGCAACCATAAGTATCATTAATTGAAATTAATATATCACTCACATTCTCTCATACATTTGGCAGATAGCAATAAGAGGCAAGACCTTTTTTCTACAAATCTGTCAGCTATGACATAATTAGTTATATAATTAAAACTGGTAGTAATTGATACCAAAATTAATGTTTCTCAGCACAACTAGGCATATGATCACATGCCATTTTTAATTGGTAATTTAATCTTGCAAACAAAAAATCCACTACTGATACTATAGTATTAATAAGTTTAATGTTAAGATGTTTCAATTAATTTATGCAGAAAACAATTGCAAACAAATTACTAATGGTGCATAGCATTGATTCTTGGTTAAAATATTGCCAGTCTGTATGTGTCAAATTTATTTGAAGGTTAGTGCATCAGAAGAACTCTGTATATATATGCTGATCTTATACCGTATAAAATTAAAANTATATATAACAATTTGCAATTCCTAGTTGTCATTTTTCTCAAAATTACAGCAATAAAAAAAGTTCAGTTTATATATTTATGTTGACTATATTGTCATGTGTGCTAACAGTTTAAAAAAGTAATCAAACTGTAAGGACCTTTTGATTTTATTTAATCTAGTAAGGCTTAATAATTGTCAAGTAAATAAGCACTAATTACTAACCAACTATTTCTATTTTGTTATGGCTGAAATCGGCTTCGACAAGCTTGTTCCAACTGTTCGCTTCAGTAATTGTGCTTCTGTGAAGCGTATCGCACAGTAAAATATCACATATTTGCTTCAGTTCACACCAAATCACAGTTATATATTCTAACTTTTGCCTGAGATCTTCAGCTTTTATTAAATTAACAGGATCTATTTTGTTCAAAACAAGTTTTCTCAATGATTTAAAAGATGAAAGTTCAAAATATAGCATAGATTTATTTATATTGCTGGAGCCGACAGAGCTGTTAACTTCACTTATTGTCACTTTGTGCAGATTGCTACAAAAATCAAGTATAACACTGAAATCATGCTGAAACCCAACCATGTTTACTGGTGGACATGGAAGTTTTAACCTCTCACTGATTGCATGGACCTAAAAATATAAATAAAATATGTTAATAATACTACTAAATTTAAGAAGTGTAATTATTAATTACATCATGTATTTAACAAACAACAATAAAAATTGGATTTTCATTATTGCTAAATGGCTAATGCGTTAAATAAAGCAAAAATAAATAAATGAACTAGGCAGTAGTTGAAAAAATTAAAACCAGTCATTTTGATTTGTGTGACAGATCTATAAAAATTAGGGCAAAAAGGTAATGCAATTAAAATGATGAAATATATTTATTATGAAGTATTACAGTTCTCTGTTAGGTTTTGCAGTCAATAGGCATGCAAAAAGAGAAAGACACAAATTAATTTACAGGAAATGTTGAATATACTGAGTGGCCCCAAATCACGGGACAGAAATACAAGATCTTATACGAAATTGAATGCTGAGTAAAAAAGCCTGCCCTATAAACCTGGGTCTGGAAGGAAAGCCTCAGTTCCTTTCCTAGGATTTAACAAAATAAATCTTAGTTTTGAAATGGTAAGTAAACCGCTACTACTACCTTAAAACAACTCAAAACAATATTCATAATACATTTAATTCAGTGTCAAATGAGACTAATATCAGCCTGGTTGGTTGAGAATTACAATTTTCATGATTTTTAAAATTTAGGAAGGTAGGGGCACAAAAAATTCAGTTTCTGACATTTTTAACAATAATTTCAAAATATGCACCCCTATTAAAAATATTCCAAAACAAACCTTGTCAATGATAGAATTCTCCATCAGATTAGACCAACTCAAGTCCAATTGATGAAGCATCCCAATTTTGGCAAATTTATTACTTTTCACACAATTCAAAAATCACTGTTTCTAATGGCTATTCCACACTGTATGAATTAATGTACAATAAATCTGAAGGGGTTACTTAATAAATTTTGAAACTGTACATATCTTTTAATAAATATTACATTTTATTCTTTCAAAAAAAAAAATCGTTTGTTAATAATAAACTTGATTGCTAATCACAGTTCAATACCCTCCTTGAGCTGTGATGTCTTTGCACCTTTTACGTTAAGTCCAAACTACAATAATTTTCGCAAATTTGATGAAGAAATCCACAGGGTTTTAAGATCCTTTTTACTCAGCGTTCAATTTCCTATAAGATCTTGATTTTTTGACCCATGATTTGGGGGCTACCAAACCATAAGGATGGTTTCAATTGGTAAAAAAAAAAAATTTTGCCAATGTTTTTTTTACCTCACCCCATAACAAAAAGGAGGATTCCTCAAATGATTAAATGATTCAGAAAGACAAACAGCAAAGCATGCTTCTTTCTCTCTTGAAACGAGTATACATCCACATAAGGAAATTATTTTGTTGTAAAAAAATCATGTAACATAGTTGCTTCAATGTCTTCATTGCATCATTAGAGAGGGATATAGAATGAACACTTGGGTGCTCTCTTTTTTCTCTCTTATTCACTAAATATTTCTCCCTCCCACCCTCTCTTTCTTTCTGCTCCCTTTTTCTCTATCATCTCAATCTCACACACACACACACACACACACTGTTTCTTTCTTGCTTTCTCTATCAATGTATCTCATTCATTTTTCTTTCTCTTTCATTACTCTTACTACTCTCTTACTCTTACAATCTCTCTCTCACTCTCACTCTCTCTCTCTCTTTCTCCCTCTCACTCTATCTCTCGCTAACATTGTATAAATTTGAATTACACAAATATAGTATAAATGAATGTAGAAAAAAATTGTATATATTATCTGTAACTGTATGAGTGGTCAATATTTGACCAAATTCTGCGACACTAAATAAAACCGCATTCATTCATATTTATAAAAACAATTAGAACTAATTAAAGGGTTACCTGAATGAGTTGAAAATGGTAATCATCTGTAGGTTTCAGTTTGTAGCAAGAGTCGTTGGAAATATTCGACATAAATTTCTGTAGTATAACAATGACATCGTACTTATCAAAATCCAAGAAATAAGACAAAGGTTTTGGTAGTGTAAGGAGCAGTAAGCTGAGTATACTGGAAAGGTAATTTTCCAAGTCGGTTCTACGTTTCTCAATAAAATTCGGATTCTTGTTGATCATTTTCTTGGGTGGAAGAATATCTTTGGATATGCCATGATCGTTGACCAACGTGGCATGCAAAGCGGAAAATTCCCTGTATCTGTGTTGGACCTGCCAGCTCACAGGTCCGACCCTCACGTTGATCACGTAGTATGTCACACCGTCTTTCTCTTCGACGCGAGGTATGTCGATGCTCCAGTCCTTTTGGTGGGTCAACAGACAACTGGCCATTTTCCAACAACTCTCGAATATCAGTCCAAATGCTTTCTATTCGCATATAAAGGGTGAAAGCTCGATTTGTACAGTACGATGCTGAATTCTGAACATGATTTTTACATGCAACTCGTTTACATTTGTTACAGGGTGCTCAGAATAGGCCACTGTCGGTCGGCGCACCTTTTAACATATACTTTGCAACACTGAAATCAATGTTAGTCACTACTGAGTAATATCTCCAAAAACCTTTTAGGGGATTATAAAGTACAGGATAACAGATAATCCGTTCCTTAACACAAAAGTGATTGACAGTGAAGAGAATCGAGAGAATATTCTTTTGGATCGATTCATCGTGCCGCTACGAATTTTCGATGTTGAAATTTCATATCATCGTTAAATCCGGTAGATTACAAAGCAACCTGCTAAAAATAACTTATACACTAACGGCAATGCAAGCAGGAGAAAAAAATTAGGATGCTTAACAGAACTGATGTTTTATTGAGCTTAGTTACAGCACCATCATTAGGGCTGCACAAATCTTTAGCTAAGTAAATTGGCCGTTTAGTTCAAAGTGGGTAAGAATTTGCAAGATGGTCTCTTCAAAAACCAGCCATTTACATCCTTGTTGCGATGGTTGCCTACTGGTCCTTCAGACATTCTTATGTGGTTTCAGAAGAGGCTAGCTTACAAATAGGATTGTACTGATTTCCGTTGATTAAGCCAATAATATAGTCTTTTAACGGCTGCTTCAGTTTCCTCTATTCCACAATGATTGGTTTTCCCTGTGTGTTAGTTTTCTATAATGCTCTGTACTTCGTTTTCATCAATGACATCAATCAATTTTTTAGTACATTTCAATAGATCAATTTCGGAATCTTTCAAATGTTTTGCTACGGTTAAATAAAATTCTCTCTATATATATCATTTTAAAAATAAATGTAATATCTCTTTTTTGGTGTAATGAAAGATTTTACAAAGTTAACTATATCTTTTTCCAGATTACTTTTAGAAATTTGGCATATTATCCTTTTCTTGTTGTTAAATAAATTCAATATTTTTGTTTCAGCCGGGTTATGTTCGACGGTTGAGATTATTATTTGGTTCTTTCCGTGATTTACTGTGCATTCTGTATTGGTATCTCAATTTGAGTGTTCCCATTACGATTAGAATGAATTGTTTCTCCATCGCTCTCTGATTGATCAAAATTAAAGGGGTTTTCGTCAACATTAACTATTAGAGATTGATTATCCACTAGGTCGTCTGGGTTATCGAAAACTTCATTCGCGATATCTGGGTACTGTTCAAAAAATTGTGTCAGCATTTCATCGATTTCTTTATCTTCTGTGTTGGCTTCGGTCATATTTAATTGTATTCTACTTAAAGCATAGGCAACAGTGTTTTCCTTGCCACTTTTATATTTGATATCATAATCGTATTCCTCCAATTGAGCCGCCATCTCATAAGTTTAGAATTTGGTTCTTTGATCGAAAATAACCACTGGAGCGGTTTATGATCCGTAAAGATGGTAAAATGTCTTGAGTAGAGATACGGTCTAAAATGTTTGACTGACCAGACCATTGCTAGCAATTCTTTCTCAATTGTGGAAAGATGCATTCGCTCTCGTTCAAGGTACGACTCGGGTAAGCGATAGGTAAATCAGCATTATCAAAATTTTGGCTTAAAACAGCGCCTATAGCAGCATTGCTTACGTCTGTCGTAAGATGGAATTCTTTTGAAAAATCAGGATACCACAATATTGGTCCATTAATTAAAATGTTTTTGCATTTTTTGAAGCATTCTATATATTCAGGATCATTTATATAATTAAATAAATAATAAAAAGATATATAAATATATTATATTATATATAATAAATAATAATAAATAAATATATAATAAAAAGCTCTTTTGTTTTCAGTAATGCAAATATAAATGTGTACTATATTTGGAGCTTTAAATCATTGAGAAAACTTATAAAGTCAATTGTTAATACTGATCACAGTCATTTCTGTAATGAATCAATTCATTTCTGACAGAAAATCCTTTCATTTTTATTTATTAGTGTATGACTGAGGAAATACAAAGGAAATTAATAGTTTCGCTAGTTTCACAAATGTTAATAATTATAATAATGTAACACAGGACTGTAACAATAGTTTTCATTTTACAGTAGTCTGCCATTTGAATAATCTCGCAAATGCATCTTATCTTCAGTTTCTTGCTCATTAGATTGTTATATTTTTCACAGGATGAACCCAGTCAGCCGATGAAATTGATACTATGCTGATATTCATCTGAATCAGAATAATTATTAATGAAATGACCATATTGCTTGATCACAGAATCAAACTTAATCACTTGCTTTTTGTTTCAGCCGGTTTTGTACTAGCTCTTTTCGCATGGCAGCTACTTGGAGCGATCATGGGAATTGTTTTAGGAATAGTTATTCGATATCCTTACAAATTTGCCTATAATGATAATATAACACAAGTGACTCTTGCCATTGGAATGTTATACTTCGCTTATTACATAGCTGACATCATTGGTAATATCATGATTATATTTGTTAATGATTTGTAAGACTTGGTTAATTTTTTAAGAATTCTTTGAGAAATGTCAAATTATTCACAGGAAGGAAATTTTCTTAATGATAATAGCTTTTGAATTTATGTAATACTAAATTGGCAATTTAACCTTAATTTAATTAACCTTTTACTGTTTTCTAAAATTTAAATATTATTAATCAAAGGGGCGTCGGTGGCCGCAACGGTTTAGGCATTGACTTGGCACCCATCACTGCAAGGTAAGGGTCCTGGGTTCAAATCCAGCGGCCCTGCATTCGAACCTGACATACCTTACAAATGGGCTTTTTTTCAAAAACACCGGCACCCCGAAGGTTGATATAACTTCTGCTGTTGCAAACCCTCGTTAAAAAAAAAAAAATTAAAAATAAAATAAAAATAAAATTAATTAATTAATCAAAATTGTGTGAATTCTGTTTGATTATTATTAAATAAATGGTGTTTTTGATTTTCGTTATAAAATGTTTACTCTTACTTCCAAAAAATTGATGTCTTTGAGGAAGAGGTGTTCTGTACACTGTTAAACTAGAGGATTCATAAGAGAAACTGTAAAGACAACTCTCTTAGGAAATAGAATGTAACATTTCTACTAAATGATAATCTAATTAATATATTAGTAAATTTTAAACATGAAATTTGAGATAAAAAGCCAAGGTCACGGATGAGATTCGAACCCATGGTGGCTCCAGTGGTTAGATCAAAAGACTGTGCGTTCAAATCCCATTTGAGACATTGGCTTTTTATCTCAAATTTTGTGTTTAAAATTAACTTATGTGTAAATATAATGAATGGTACTGAAACTGATTAAAAAAACCCTTTAATTAATATATTCGGTTGTCCAGAAAATAATGCAGCTTTATGGTGATAAGACAAAAGCAATTAAATAAATGATTTTAAACATTTTTTATTAGAGTTAAATAGTTAAAATACTCTCCAGCACTCTCAATACACTTCTCCCAATGTGATGGCAACTTTGCTATACGCTCTGAATAGAATTTTTAGTCTTTATGATTAACAAATTCTGTAAAAGCATTTTCTAACGACTTATGATCAATAAATTTGTTTATGTTGTAAAACATTGTCTAGGTGCTTGAAAAAATGGTAGTTCTTAGGCGAGAGGCCTGTACTGTAGAGAGGGTGAACCTCTTAATGAGACAGTTTTTGTGATGTCACATATGAGACATGGAGGCCAAACCTTGTGGTGTAAGTGAATCAGCCTTTTCCCAATGATTAAATATGGCTTCAGTAATACCAATTTCTGGTGCATTGCTTTAATTTGAGAGCAATATATTTCGTTCTTGATTGTTTCACAAGGATTCAAGAAGCTATAGTAAGTAAATCAGTCAAAATGAAGCACTCCAAAGAGTCACCATCACTCTTTTGATGAGTTGGGGGCTTTGGAAAAAAAGTGTTGTTCCTTCTCCTTTGTCGAACCACTGTCCTGAATATCTGCTATTATCGACAAGAGAGAATTTTCTTTTCATCACAAGTAACAATTCTATCCAGAAAAGGTTTATTTCTGTTTTGGCAAGAAGTCTTGTGCAAACTTCATAATGTTGAATTTTTGGCAGTCGCTTAATGCATGAGGAACCCATCTTTTGAGCTTTTTCACCTATCCAATTGCCTTAAGGAGATCAGCAACAGTCAATTTGCTACCTAAAAGATTCTCTGCAAGTTCTCGAAAGTTGTTCTGGGATTTTCTTTGACCAAAGCCGAACATCATCATCTAGGGAGGAAATCCTTCCACAACGACCTTCTTTGTCTTTGACTAAAGTCTCCCTCTCAAAATTTTCTAAAACCATCTCATTCACACTGTCATTGCCCCTGACTTCATTAGTGTTTATGGCCATCTGAGCACCGTTCTGACTGAGTTGAACTAGTAAAACGAAATTACATGAAAATCACGTGTTAACTTCTTAGTAAAGACTAAATTATTCCGAAGTAACAAAATGCTACTGAAGTAAACAAACATTTTTGTTTGGAAGAAGATAAAAAAAGTGTTGACATTCATACAAAATAATCCATCAAATGTAAACAGTTTATTATTTAGAGGGGTAATTAACAGAAACATGAAAACCTGCATTATTTTCCAGGCAACTGAATATTACAATGCAACGTATTAATTTTCTTTCTTGTTTACAACTTGTTCTACACCAAGGTTTACATTAATAACAATAAATTTAATACATAATTAATAAATGCAAATTAATCACAATATTTTCATTTTGTTCATATAATTTCATTGGGACTACCTTATAGAATTATAAAACATTTTCAGGTGTAAGTGGTGTACTTGCTGTTGTACTTTTTGGTATCTTGTTAAGCTCAACTAAAATAAAAATTAGCCCTGAGACTGAAGTATATACAAACAACTTTTGGGAGTATATTTCATTTTTGACAAAAACCCTTATATTTGTTATGGCTGGCATTCGCCTAGGTTATGACAACCACTATCCTCAAGTAACTGACATTGGATATGTTATTCTACTGTATATACTATGTCTTGTAGCCAGGTAAGTTAGTTTTGAAATACATTTCAGTAATTTAATGTCAGTAAAAACCATTTTTTCCAGGATTATGATTTACTTACTTGCAAGCCCTGTGCTAAGGAAATCTGGTCCGCAATTATCATGGAGAAGTATAGTCATTTCAGTTTGGGGCATTTATAGAGGGTCGCCCTCTCTGTTGCTTGCAGTATTGTATTCAGCTCATTATCAAAATGAATTTGGCTACAGGGTAAAAACATAGTTTTTAATTTATCCTAAATTAGCAATGAATAAAACATTGAAACAGGACTATTATTGTATATTTTTTAAATTTAATGTAAACATGATTATATCTCTGCTTTATTTTGTAGGTGCTTTCATATTCCACACTAATTGTTATATTGTCACTGTTATTAAACTCATTTCTCATGCGATTTTTACTTAGTGTGCTAGGCTTGTATGATTTATCGAGAACAAAACGTGTAAATATGAACATGGCAGTAGCACAAATCAATGCCTGCAGAGAAAAGTAATTAATTATTGTTTAAGGATTCCATTATTCAAGCTAACAAACTTGTCATCATGTTTTAGAGCAATGTTTTCCCTAAAACTGGATAGAATTATCGCAGATGCTAATTGGCTAGTTGTTGAAAGTATAACTAGAATTGGACATCCATATCGAAAGAAAATGAAAGGACATGTATGTGTTGTTTTTTTTACAATAATTAATAAAATTGTTGTGGAGAATAATTCCATTTGTGGACAATAAACATTTCATAAAATATAATAATTAGCTTGAATTATTCTTTTTTTAATGTTTCAGGGTACATATGATGATGATATAGGAAATGACTTTCAAATTCGTTTGCTCAGTTGTCCAGATTGTGGAGGCCACACTTTGTGCCCACCGTCCTTGAAAGAAATTGATGATATGACTTTAGAAGCAAAACATCGCATTTTAAAGGCTCAATTGGTATGACTGGGTGTCTGTTTAAAGAGTTAGATGTACTGACCACATTTTTACTCACAAGTAATCTGGATCTTGGTATGGTCTAGATGAAAAAATTTTTGCAATAGTGTTAGTTGTTTTTTTTTAAATTTTTTTAATAATAAAATTAAATAAATAAATTTTTACTTAAACCATGGTCTATGAACGAAAGCAAACCATCTATTAAAAACTTAATTATGTAAATTTGTAGTCATATTTAGGATTGTTTTACCCTGATGATGATTTTAAATTATGATGAAAGCTTGGCAGTAAAACTTGAATTTGTTTTTTTCGTCACACATACCAAGATCCAAATTATTCGTGACTGGGTGACCCACATATTTGAACATAAACTGGTTAAAGAGGAAGACAAGATAAAAGGAATGCATTGTTACCCGACAGGTCTCATACTGGCGTCAATATGATCTGGGAATTCTATCAAGAAGGGGCATTAGAATACTGACTAATTTAATTGATGGTGCTGTTACAAAAGAAGATCCAATGCTGAGAGCAGTGGATTTAAAAATTCAAACAGAAGGATCAAAAATATTGAAAAACATGAAGTCATGCTTTGGACATTTGCTAACAGTTACATCAAAACAACATCGATTTATTCCAACCAATATGTTAGTATAAATATGTGATATATTTGCTATCAAAAAAATTAATACAATTAAGGTTTTTAGTTGAGATGAAAAAAAAGTTAATGGCACAAGAGGGATTCGAACCCACGACCTTCAGCTAGATACGCCGCTGCTCTACCACCTGAGCTATCGTGACCTCGATCCGCTCAGACATCAACTCCCCCTTCTCAACCTCACCTTATGAGTTGAGAAGGGGGAGTTGATGTCCGAGCGGATCGAGGTCACAATAGCTCAGGTGGTAGAGCAGCGGCGTATCTAGCTGAAGGTCGTGGGTTCGAATCCCTCTTGTGCCATTAACTTTTTTTCATCTCAACTAAAAACCTTAATTAATTGTAATGATTTAATTGGTCAAGCGGGCCACGAAATTAGTGAATAAAAATTAATATGAATTGTTATATAAAATATATGTTAACATTTTTCTGTTTAAAGTTAGATACATTTTTTTCACAGTTCTCATCTATGTGTACTGTATGTTGTTAATCTATATCTATGTTACTTGTTTCCAGCATCCGAGCAATGTGCTTTCGCTTATGTACTTCAAGAACTTTTCAGATAATTATGGCTTCACTTGCAATGTTTGATTTAGCCATTCTATTACATTTGACAATGTTGTATTATTTTCAAAACCAATTTGGAGATCATGATGCTTTTGCCTTCTATGCCCAAATACTTGATTTTATGTTTTTTAGCATATTTCTGTTAGAATTTTGGATCCAGGTTTGTTTATCTGAAATCATAGATTTCAATAAAGTTATTTTTGTCAATGGCAATAATTGAATACTATATAATTAATCGATTGCAGGTTTTAGGTATTGGTTTTGTTCAGTACTTCCGGAGTCATGTGAATAAAGTAGAATTTGCTGTTGGCATATTAATAAGAGGAAGTGAAATTACAATGTGTGTAGACACTTCCATTGATATGAAACAAGTGCTAAATGTTCTCAAATCATACGATATTATACTATTTCTGAAAACCTTACTCCTCTTACGTGCTGCACGCTTGTATATTTTTTGGACGGTAAGAGAAAATACTATCATTAAATTGCACATTAAAATACTACATTGCTAATATTTTAAACTGAAAAAAAGCTGATTCTTTAATACCTAAAATCTCATTATTTTGTCAGGGAATTATTTATTAAAAGCCAATTTAAAAAAAAAAAACAAGTTTACATTGATCCAGTCTCTAATAATCATATTGTTTGTAAGCAAGTTTTATACAAACTTTAAAAAAACTTGTAAAACTATAAAATAATCCATAAAACAAAACAAAAATCTTTTTATTTTAATAATTATGTGAATTAACTAATGTAGTTTAAATAAAAAATATATTTATAATGTTTTGTTTGTTTTATGGATTAATTTATTAATTCTTTTGTACAGGGTTTTAGCCTTCTTGCCAGTTGTAAGTTTATCAGGGTATTGTATAATCTGCACCTGTTAATTCTTATTCTCTTGGATGTATGGGGACCTATCTTGACTGCAGCATGACAATCTCCTATACAAATTAAAGTGTGTTGTTCCAAACACCTTATACCTAATTCTTCACTCCTACCTCATAGAATGATTATTTGTTCACCAAGGGTTGGTCTACTCCAACTCCTGTGGGAGCGGAGTGCCTCAGGGCAGTGTACTCGGACTAAACCCTCTACTCTCTTTGCATCCTTTTCAGACAACTTTTCTCTGAACCCGATCCTGCAATTGCCTGGGAGGAGCTCCAACAAATAGCCGATTGAAGCAAACTTTGGAGGATAAAGATGAATGAAAACAAATGCAACCATATTACATTTACTTTCCAAAGCAAAACCCCTCACAAACTTCTTCAACAACATTCCTATCCCTAAAACTGACTGTGTACACTACATTCGATTCTATCTTGTCGCACGTTTAACCTGGAACCAACACATACAAATAAAACAAGAGCTGAACAGATGCTTTGCACTACCCTGTAAACTGCTTGGATGCAAATCTAACCCGCCGACAAAAAAAAACTACAAAACACTACTCAAACTGATTTGGACATATGTACTGGAACTATGGGACACTGCTAAACCTACCAACATCCAACAAATTCAGTCATTCCAATACAAAGTCTTCAGAATCATAGTTAATATTCCCCACTGTGTAATATGGACCCTCAGGGGGCGTCGGTGGCCACAAGGTTTAGTCTTTGACACAGCGCTCATCACTGTACGGTAAAGGTACCGGGTTTGAATCCAGCGGCCCTGCATTCGAACCCGACATACTTACAAATGGGCTTTAAAAAAAAAAAAAATAATAATAATAAAAAATATGGGACCTCTTTGCCAAGGACTAATCCTTGAGTAAAGTTTGGAGAACAGCAATGGTTGCTAACTCCTCTCAAGACATAATGTATTGTCAACGTGAATGATAAATCCATAAAATTACAAAATGTATTATTACGTACAGTTGGTAAATATTTTATATAAAAAAATTCTCTTGGAATGAAACAGTTAACTATAGTTTGCATTTCATGCTTATTTAACTATGTAGTAACTTATCCTTGGATATAAAATGAAACCTGTATTGTTCTTTCAAATAGTAAACTAGAAATATGTTTAGTTGAATGAAGTGTATATTATTAAAGAGTTGAAAATTCAATTTTAGGCATTGATCCCTAAGCTACTAAATGTTATTGACAGACAAATGGATGATAGTCTGATGAAAAGCTATGACATTGGAAAGGCATTTCTTGTTGGACAAGAAAGAGTCATGAAATTTCTTGCGCATGTTGTCTGCAATGAAACAGTTTACAACAACTTAAGAAGAGTACTAGAGGCAGACAGATTAAAAGTTACAAAAGACCTTGGTAAACATTGCAAAATAACTAATTCATAATTCATCAAACTCATAGATGTACACTACACACATGTATATGTGTTTATTTTTTCTTGTGTCTTGCTGGTGGTTTTAACAGTAGAAGAGATAGGTGCTCCCTTAAGAGGGCTTTCTGTTATTTTAAATTGAAATTGTGGGATGTCGCTATCTCTCATAAAATATTTAACCCTTGTACATGTGATGGTAAAGTTTAAACAACACATATCAAAAAACACACATTTATACTACTATTTAACTAACCTAATTCAGGTTACTCAACTGCCTCCCCCAATCATCACACTTATAAATACATTCATACAAAACATAAACTTTCAAACAATGTATATATAACATTTATGTTGTTATCAACTAACCAACTTCGATGGATGTGTAGGGTATCTTATATTCCACCATAGACCAATCCAAACTCATACTCAAAACACTCAAGGCATTAAAACTTGAGAATAGACCACACCTTTCCTACAGTGCTAATAGTCCACACATTAATAGGATATGCTTCACAGTTAGTAGTGTAACATGCAGGAGAATCTCCAAACATTTGTTTTACATTTTGGTTTTTGTAGGATTAATCCAGAAAGATCGTCCTGCAATTGCAATTACCATGAAAACTCGACATGCAATTCGCCATATAATAAATATTATGTCAGACTGTTTAAATGATCTAAAAGAAGAAGGTAAAAAAAATTATAGTTAATAAATTATTTTATTAGTGTAATTTATTTATTGTAACCATTGTATTGTCAAACGAAAAGGGCATTTATCCAGCCATTTATATTTTATTATTTTCCAGCATTTTGTCCAGCTGAATCAAAATCTATTTGTATTTAACTACTTTCATAAAATAGTTTTTATTTCTCTAGATTATAAGAGTACCATACTTTTTTTAGCTTAAGTGAATGTCATAAATGATATAAGGGCTCTTGCCAGTGATAAAATAAATATCAAAACACATTAAGGCTCTTGCCAGTGATAAAATAAATATCAAAACACATTAAGGCTCTTGCCAGTGATAAAATAAATATCAAAACACATTAAGTTTTAAATTGAGAAGTTGTTTTACAAATTAAGTTTTTTTTAATTAGGAATTTTGGATGCAATAGAGAACAAAGTATTGGTATCCTCACTGGACCTCATAAGGAAAAAATTAAGAGACATTTCAGTTGTGAATCCATGTCCGCCAGACTTCATTTTGAGAGAAATACCTTGGCTTCATGGTGATCATGACACTTCAGATTTCCTTCTGGTAACAATTAATTTTGATCGTAGTGTAGTTTTAAAGATGTTTTAATTTGTCTATGGTAAATTCTGCACGTTTTTTTCCCATAGATTTAAACAAATTATAATGTATGCACTATTCTATCTTTTTTATATACATTTTTATGTATTAATTGTATAAGTAGAGACAGAGTTTATACTCAGTTTTTACAATAATTTTTTACTTGATCAAAGATAAATAGTTTATACAACTTTCAATTAAGGTTTTTAATTGAGATAAAAAAGTCAATGTCACGAGTGGGATTCGAACCCACGACCTTCGGCTAAATACGCCGCAACTCTACCACCTGAGCTATCGTGACTTCGATCCACCCGAACTAGTGAATTGAATAAGTTAAAATGAAGTATATCTTCACTAAAGCTCTCCGAGGCCATTTCATTTGTTGACAAGAATCCAATCCGATTACACGACATTTGAAAAATGGCAAAAAGGAGGGAAAATTCAAAAGGTGTGGTTGAGATGGGAAGTTGGTGTCCGAGTGGATCGAGTGGTAGAGCAGCGGCGTATCTAGCCAAAGATCATGGGTTCGAATCCTGCTTGTGCCATTGACTTTTTTATCTCAATTAAAAACCGATTGTAAAAGATATTACAATACCGATTGGTCAAGCTGACCACGAAAACTAGTGAATTGAAGAAGTTTGTACAACTTTTATAAACAATTTATTTAACACATTTTACACAAGTTAAATTATGTTCATATATGATACTCATCTCCAAATAATATAACAAAAAAATCAGATAATTCTGTAACCATTATTTTATTTATTTTGGTCATAAATAAAATAAATTCATAAATAATGATGAAATAATTACATCATTACAGCATTTTGCCATCTTCAGTGGTGGGATGTGTCACATCCAAACTAGATGTGCTTCATCCCACAGTATTCAAAGATAAATCTAACAAGAAAAATATCTATTAGACTCAGCAACTTTGTAAAAATTAAATTTTTTTTCCGCAGACTTCATTTTGTAACTTTTAAAGTTTTATTGATATCTAACTGTTCCTCAGACAATCATGATGAACCAGCATTGGGTCACTTATTGCGCCATCATAAGCGAGTTAATCTTAGGAATACTCCGTTCCTCACTTAAGATGGTGCAATGTCAAAACATGCTTGAATAGCTCAACAAACCTGCGAATGAAGATGGACCCAATAAGTGACCCAATGCTGGTTCAGCATAAGTTTACCGATTTGCAAACCACCACCCATCATCAACTCCTTAAACAATACCGTAAAATAAAACAGAACAAAAAGAACCACATCACAGTAAAGTTAAATTTGGGTGGAAAATACTCCATTTATTTCCACCAAAAGAACTAACTCCACAACTAACCTTAAGATTTACTGTTAAAACGCATAATATAATGCTGTTTTATTTTATTTGCTGTTTTATTACACAAGAATCTTTCACTTAACTCAGCGATATAAATAATTGTCAGTTTATTTGTATTCTAGATATATAATTGTTAAGTTCATTTTTTATTTGGTTTATTTTTAGCATCATTCAAGGCTTTCAAGTTATGATACTGGAGATGTTATAATAAAATATGGAGATGACCCGGTTGGATTGTATGTTTTGGTATCTGGCTTAGTTAAAAGTTATTACCGGCCATCATCTAACATAATTGAGGTAAATTGGATGTTATTTACATGCACTCTAGTTTTAGTCAGTATAAGCCCAAAATAAATAGCCTCATATTTTTAACCTTTCATTTCAAGCTTGTCTATAGTTTAGCAACTCCTTTTAACAACTTAACACGACAATTTTTGTTTTTTTTTTCAAATAAAAGAAAAGGTAAATATGAAAGCAATGGCTGAAAGCAAACAAATTTTTTCAAGAAAATCTTATAAAGATGACACATGAGAAATAATCGTAACAAATATTTTTTACATGTGATTTTTGACACTTGTTTTATCATGCCATCCTTCACATATTTATAGGTTAATACAAACTAACAACCTCTATTTCAGTCTTGTGAAACAATAAAACATTTATTATGGTTTAACATGAAATAGTGCTTAAATAATTATGTGAAAAGTTCTTGTTTAAAGTATTGTTTAATATATTTTAGCAAACGAATAAATATGGAATTCTTCCTAACTGTGATTTTTTCACTAATTTAAAATTTGATTTGCCACAAGAAGACTATGTTGTATCTGGAAATTTGGTTGGTGAAACTGGTATGGTCACTGGGAGAAGATATGATATGGACGTGCTTTGTGAAACTGCAGTTCAAGTAAGAACACATTTAAATAAGTATTTATATGATTTTGGTACAGATAAATTTCTAGTCATTGATTTTTCTAGTCTAGTCTAGATTCTAGTCAAAAATCAAAAGTTGGCAAGAAGTATTGTCATAACACTTACTTTACACTCAGTGTTTTTTTGCTTTAATTTTTGTTTTTGTGTTTAAGTTATGTACATTTGTACTATAACTTAAACAACAACTTGTGCTATCTTATATTTGTTAATTAATGAGATTGGTTTATTTTATGTACTAAGAATAATAAAATTACGTGTAGGTGTATTATATACCCTGGAAAATAATGAAAGCAGTTCTACATGACTCTGAAGATTCGGGTCTCATGCAATCAAAAGTGTGGAAATCTATTGGAATAAAGATCGCTGTAATTTTGTTACAATATTCCACACATTTTCAGGTACAAATTTAAAAAAAATCATTAACTATTGGGCTGTCTGGAAAATAATGCAGGTTTTCATATTTTCTTTCAATTACTCTTTGTAAAATAATCTGTGTACATTTGATGGATTATTCTTTTGTATGAACGTCAACAATTTTTAATCTACTCCCAAGCAAAAATGTTTGTTTACCTCAGTAGCATTTCGTTACTTGGGAATAATTCAGTCTTTGCTAAGATGTCAATGCGTGATTTTTGTGTAATTTCGTTTTACGAGTTTAAACTCAGAACGGTGCTCAGATGGCCATAAACACTAATGAAGTCAGGGGCAATGACAGTGTGAATGAGATGGTTTAGAAAATTTTGAGAGGGAGACTTTAGTCTTTAAGACAAAGAAGGTCGTTGTGGAAGGATTTCCTCCCTAGATGATGATGTTCGGCTTTGGTCAAAGAAAATCACAGAACAACTTTCGAGAACTTGCAGACAATCTTTCAGGTAGCAAATTGACTGTTGCTGACCTCCTTAAGGCAATTGGAAAGGTGAAAAAGCTCAAAAGATGGGTTCCTCATGCATTAAGCGTCTGCCAAAAATTCATCATTATGAAATTTGCACAAGACTTCTTGCCAAAACAGAAACAAACCTTTTCTGAATAGAATTGTTACTTGTCTTGAGCAGTGGATTCTCTACGATAACAGCAGTTATCATAGAGAACTCTTCTGAAGAGTGGACCACAAAGGTGAAGCAGCACCACATTTTCCAAAGCCCCAAACTCATCAAAAAAGTGATGGTGTCTCTTTGGAGTGCTTCATTTGGGCTGATCGACTAGTTTCTTGGCATCGAATTCTGGCAAAACAATCAATGCCAAAATGTATTGTTCTCAGATTGAAGCAATACACCTGAAATTAATTGAAACCATCTTTGGTCAAAAAGCTTCTAGTGTCAATGAGAAAAGGCCAATTCTGTTATAAGTCAACTCTTGACCCCTCGTCACGACAACATGAAAACTGTAGGTTCTGATTAAGAGTTCTGCTTCACCCTCCCTATTCTCCAGACCTCTCACCTACTGACTACCATACTTTCAGATCCTGAACAAAGTTTTACATCATAAAAAATTTATTGATCAAAAGTAGTTAGAAAATGCATTCACAGAATTTGTTAATAATAAAGACTCAAAATTATATTTAGAGGGTGTAGAGAAATTGCCATCATGTTGGGAGAAGTGTATTGAGAGTGATTAATAAAAAAATTTAAAATAATTTATTTAGTTGTTTTTATTTTATAACTATAAACCTGCATTATTTTCCAGACAACCTAATATATGACAAATTTTGTGATACGAATGAGGATAAAGTTAACAATGGTGAATAAAAAGCATGCTGTTTTTATTTTTAGGGTTGGCTACGAGAAAAATTATTGCTATATTTACAAAGGTCTGTTGTTCCAATGTTGTCAGGAGTAACGACAATAAATATAACTGATAAAGTAGACGATGTCATATTAGTTGAAGGTGTAATAATGGATGGCATTACAAGAGCAGTCTTTTTTGGACCATTTTATGTTCCAAGATCTGTTCACAAGATAATTCTGCCAGTAAATATTATTCAATCTTTTTCACAATTGTAAGGTGAGAAAATCTCTGTTGAAAACTTGAATTTGGATTACAGGATCACAGCACTTGGAAATATGACACAACTTATGAAACTCGCCTATTAATTATTCCAAATGTGCATGCCGATCAGAATGATATATTAGGTCCTGAAGGAATTTTCAAAGATCATTACCGTTCGCACCCACCTTTACAGACCATGGAAATTCTTTCTGATGCCTCTGTAGTAGATTCCACTACCAAACTATGTCCTCACGGGCAAAATAGCGGATGGAAATTGGATTCAGCGAGCAGTCAACGATTTTTCCAAAAACGAGCTGGTATCCATGTAAGTTTCTTTACAAGTCTGAAATTTTTATAGAAAAACAGAACAGTAGGGAAGTATAGTACAAATCAGATTATAACTTGGCTTAATCTTTGTACACTTTCTGTTTCATTTTGTAAAATTTTTCCTAAAACTGAAGCTTTTTCACATTTTTAATCACATTCTAACAAAATTATAAGTAGATTTCAATCCTTATTTGAATTTATTGCCATTCTACTCTATAATAATAAAAAAATCAGCTTTGCGTTGTTTTCTAAAAATAACAAATCATATATGAAACAACTTTCTTTTTTTTTTAATTAAAATTTCATTTAAACAACACAAAGAACACCTGCTGTTTTAGTAAACTGAGAGTGAAAACAGAAAAATACAACGTTTTAATTAAAACAAATGACTGCAATTATAATTTTCTTTTGTAGAAAAAAGTTGGGTTCATAGATTATATGCCGAACATTAAAGGAATTGATTCTACAATGCCAACTACATCTTATGCTTTACCATCAGAAAAAAAGACTCAAATCAAGGAAACAATACATGTTCGGAGAAATCAAGATTCAACTATCACCTATATTAAAGATATTGACGAACAGGTACCCACAAGCCCAAATAAATAACGAATTCTCAAAATCTTAACAATTAAATTGATGTTAATAAATTTCATACATAAAATAGATATTATTATCCTCACACAATTTTAAAGAATATAATAATTTTTAAATGTGATTATTAGAAGTAGACTAACCACTTTTATTGTGGCAAGTGATAAAACATTTTACAAAAGTAAGAATTAACTGGAGAAACAAAGCACATGGAAGTTACAAAATGTTATTTCCAATATAGATAATAAAGTATATTATATGCAAACCTCTAGAGGAAAGTATTGACTTAATGAATCAAGATGGTGGTGTACATAATTTTTGTTTAAGAAAACATACAGAAGCAAACAAACATTAACAAGATTTTACTTGACTCCACAGAGAAAATAAAATAAAAATAAATGTTAACATCAGAGTTATTGACTGTAATGTGTAACAAATTATAACTACTTCATTCATAAAAGTTATTAAAAATCAAGCTTGATCAAACAGTGGATTGTTTAATTGTGGTTTTTGAAATTTTAAATATGAATGAATTTACAACAAACTTAATGTTAGCAACTTTTGTTGTATTTTATTGTTAAGTTTAGTTCAGCTTATGTTTAGAGAGCTTCCAATTGAAATAATTAGTGTTTGTTGTTCTATAATACAAGCAAATTAATTAAAAAATAGTAGTCATTTATCATCAGTCAGTAGTCACAAAAAAATTAGATTTGGTTATTAGACTAGGCAAGATGCTGAAAAATTGTGTACTAGTGTTTTAATCAATTAATTTGGATTCTTTGGAAGAAACTTTTTCATTAAATTTTGAAACCTAATTTCACTTATCGGGCCAAGCATTAATTTGTTTGCTTTTTGTTTGTTAATATTACACATGTGCTAATGTGGGTCCTACTATTGGTCTCATTAAGTTTTATGTGTCAAAATTCACTCCTCATATATGACACAAATGTATTTGTTGCTACTACTTCCTTTTTGTATATGTATATAATATACTATAAATTTATAACACCAGATTTTTTAGGATCTCTTGAAAATTTATATTGAAATTTTATATTTCTTTATTTAATGACACAAGGAACTTTTTTAGCCAACTTTTTATTCTCTAAATCAACTAAGTCTTATAAACATAAAAAGAAAATTACATGTATTATGCCTTCAACTTATTAAAGTATTTTAAATAGTTTGTAGGTATAATACATGCAATTTACTTTCTGATAGTTTAAATTAAACCCTTCACTTTATTGAAAGGACAATATTTTATAGAGAAAAATCTTTCACTTTGACCAGATATTAAATTTGAGATAAACCAACAAATGGTATAAATTATTAAAATACACTATAAAAATTAAGTATTTGCAGGATTAAAGTTAATTGATTTGTAGAGTGAGGGCGAATCTGTAAAAGATGATATGCAACCGACTGTGAAATCAAAACATACACCCCATTTGCAACTAAAAAAACGCAGAAGAAGAACAGAACAGGTGTATGATTACGATATAGTCAGTGACAGTAGCTTTGAAGAGGATATGGTGCTGAAAAAGTCAAAGATGAAAGGCATCAGATCAAAAATATGTGACAAGATAAAGTCAAAAATACCTAATAGAGCAAGAAAAATATTCAGAACAAAGGAAGAGAAAACTAGTTTAACCGATGAATACAAAAGAACTTGTTCATCAAAAGACAAAGTATGTTCTGTAGAAGTTCCAAGGAAGAAGAAAACTGCAATTAAAAAAGCTGATCATTTGGCTTCTGATGATAATTTGGATGATTCTATAAATTCAAAAGAGTCCTATGTTAAAGTGAAAACATTTGAGGTTGAGGAATCTCTAGTTACTTTAATACGTATAAAAGGAGAATCGAAACATGTGCAGACTGATTTGCAAGCTAAAGATGTAAAGCACCTAGTTGACGAAACAGGCTATCCTGAACAAAAGATTATTGGTATTGATCATGATCGCCATGATAGTACTTCTTTATATAAGCAGTTGCAGCACAAGACAGAAAAGGACATAAAGATGGGAAAACACGTCTCCCCAAACTTCATAGTTTCCACCCATAAGATGGATCATTCTGCGGCCAAACAATTTACCACCAATCCATATCCTGTTGATGTTGAAGACAATGAAGAAACATCAAGTAATGATAGTACACCCGACACCTCTCCATTGTCTGGAGCTTCAATAAAAAAGCACAATCTAAATAAAAACACTTCCACAGATTCCTTATCAAAAAGTGAAGGTTCAGATTTAGAGCTTAAATCTGTTCCATCTGGGCGAGGCAAGAAGCAATCAAAAGAGAATTGAATTTAAAAAAAATGGAGTACAAATAAAATTTTAATTAATAAAAAATAACATCTAGTTTATTTAAATAGTTTAGTCAACAATGATTATGAAAAATTTTGTCTACATTACAACCCTATTGTTGAATGAAATCAAAACCAAAAGTTTGTTTCGCCATTTAGTGTTCCTTTTGACATATAAATACTTATGTCCAGTTTAAAACATTTTAAAATATTGAAGAACCAATGAAAAGAAGGACTTAATAAATAAACCATTTGCCAAATAATAAATGTTTGCCAATTAAAAAAAAATGTTTACAGGATTTATATCCAAAATTGGTTTGTTATAAAATATGGGATTTGTTAAGCTATCAGGGGCATGTTTTTATGGCATTTCTATTTAATTTGAAAAACAAAAAAACAATCACAAGATAAATCTGCTAGTTTACATTATGAATTACATTTTTAATTTTTTGACAAAATCAAAAACACATTCAGTTTTCATGGTTTGCATTTCTAAAAATAAAACTTCAATACGTAATTGGTAATTGAAAAAGACCTGAAATTCAATAGTTTAAAGCAGAAAATTATGTAATTGAAAATGAAGCAGGTGACATCAAGTGAGGCCATGCCATTAGATAAGCCAAAACATTAGATTAGTAATTCAGAAATTAATTATTCCAAATTAGTTTTCAAGGATCAATTTAATATTTTATTTGCACAAAAAGAAGTTCATAAAAAGTATGAACTTTTTATCATATATAATTTTTTTGCCTGTCCACCTCCATTCAGAAACCCAAGTGAATCCACGTGAGTCCCAGAAATCCCACAGAACCACAAGTGGCAAACCATGGCCAAATCATTTAAATTTAAAAACTATGAAGTGTATTAGTGATACTTTAAATATATTTATATGGTCCCTTTGTTTAAGAAGAGTTCATAAATGAGCCTTTATTACATTATTATTGCAAACAATTATTTTATAAAAAGCAATGTGACTTGACTACTGATATTTTATTTTACACAAATTTAATCGATCATAAAACAAATTGAATTTTGTTTTCACTAAAGATGTTCAGTTAATAAACAGTTGATTTTTGACTACGTTTACACATTCATGCTGTAGCAAGAAATAATAGCCTAACCACTAAAACTAATATAAAATGTACAATATATTATTTACAAAACTACAGTTGGGGTGTTCATACCATTAACGTTATCATTCATGCTAATAAATACATTCTACAGAGTAGAATCTTTCAAGCCATATGCATAAGTAAAAGTTGAGTAGCCTCCGTGGATTTAATATTACTTGGTGACTCACCTGCAAAATACACTGCATTTAATCATACATTATTTGGAGATCGTGAGATGTGGTATGGTGTGATAGGTTTTAGAAAAACATTTTCTTTATCGTGCCAACGTTTCAATCTTTATTGAGATCATCTTCAGGGCTCAAAGTGTGTGTTGTATCTCAATAAAGATCAAAATGTTGGCACAATAAAGAAAATGTTTTTCTAAAACCTACATCACGCCAGACCGCATCTCACGATCTCTGAATAATCACTGACTAACAGTCACTAAACACCACACACTTTAATCATACATACTAACTAACCTAACCTGTATTGACTAGTCTATGGGGTATTCTCAGTCCTTGACAATGATGGGACTGAGTCGGTCTTCAAATATATCAAATTTGAGATCATCCATAAAAAAATTAATTATGTCAATCTGTAGACATATGTAAGATGGTTTTGTCCTGATGATGACCTTAAAATAAGTTGAAATCTTGGCAGTAACAACTGAATTTGCATTCTCATTAAGACCATACATACCATGATCCAGAGTGTTTGCGAGGAGAAAAGTGTTGATACATCTAACACTTAAAACAGAGAAACTCTTTATTCCACCACACATCCGTCCATGCACACATTTTTTAAAAATCATTTTGCCCCTCTCAATTTATGAGACAGGTTAAAAATGGAAATAAGGGCTACTTACCAGACTATGATGGTGACTAATTATGGTAAGCACAAAGAATATTTATATCGTTTCAACCTAGCAGAAGATGATAAACACTCATGTAACACAGAATGCACTCAACATGGACACACATATTTCAATGTCCATTACAAGATTCCCCCGATCCCCCACAGGAAAATACCATTGAGCGGCGAACAGTGGCCAGTACCTTAAATGTGCTTATTTCAAGATTTGGTGACTTTTTTAATTTCTTAAATTCCTTAGATTTTAATTTAATCAGATTGAGACTGGCTGTAAAATATAAGGTATTAAACAAACACACACACACACAAATAGTAAATTGTATGTTGTATTGTATGTTTGTATTGTTAAATTGGCGAATCCTCAGGTGGGTCAACAATAGTCTCTCTTTTTTTAAGATTCTCTATGGCGCACAGTTTCACCGTGTATTTGATATTTTAAATTTTCGATCTTAAGTCATCCAGCAAGCTTGCCAGTTAATTATAAAACAAAACCCAAATGTAGAAATAAATTTCAAATGTGAATTTGAATTTAAGCAGGAAAGAATCAAGTAGTAGATTTTTTAGGCTGTTAATGATTTTAATTTGCAGGGAGTGCCCTAGAGGAGCGGTCCAGCTGGACCGTCTGTCTAAGATCTTTATATGGCTAAATGGCAAATTCTTTTCATCTCTTGTTTTAAGTCCTCTGAGCTAATCGGAATCTCCGGGTCATGGGCAGGGTTGTTGCTTTCTTGGAAACTTGATCAACTATTTTTTTCCTTTCAATGACAATGTGACCCAGGATCCACATGATGGTAACCTTACTTGGAATCAAAATTAGAAAAATGACAAGGCATAAAAAAATCAACTAGTCAAGTGCTATTGGTAGTCCTGGAATGGAGTTTGGTTTTGTTTGTCCTGCTCAGTGCTAACTAAAGTTAGGCCCCAGGCAGTTTTATTTATTAGCGAGCTTAGATATGATGGTGAATATACTGCTATTGTACCTCTCACAGTACATTCATGCTAATAAATTATTCTTGTTATGCTACCTGTGGTTAACAAGTTATCCACTAGGCGTCACCACTGCTTAAACAACGGTCTCGCCTTTCACTCTACAGCCAATCAGTTTGCAGCAGCTATGTATATAAGCAGGGGCTTGCATTCTTTTTCCAGACTTATCGATGAGGTCTCAACTCTCACTAACGAAGCTTGCCGTTAGCACTGTCTACAGTAACAAAGGTACTCACAGGTCACTCACCATACTCTCTCGCACTCTCAACAGCTGACATGGCTGCCTGCTGCAAGAGTCGTGGTCACCGCAATCTCATAATTTCAACACAAAATCACACAAATTAATACAAACATTAAAACAAGTACATTCAATAGAAGAGGGGAGAATTACCACGGGGTAACTGAGTATTTAGACTTGGTTTGCCAGGCTAGCTAGCAGTTTCAGGTTCAAATCATAACCCTTAAAATTTTGGTTGGGAATAATTGAATAAAAAGAGTATTGTTAAGCAACACTCAATGAGTAGTTGGGTAGATAGTGTATATTATAGGAATTACTTTACTTTCTTTTTAGAAAACCTCTACTTCTGCAGTACAGTTCTCATATTGGGCCACTACCAGGTATGTCATGTGTAACATACTGAGCAAACTTTTTTCTCCATGCCAGACACACAAGCTGATATTAGCACAAAAAGTATTGTCTGTGTGTCAACATCTTTATGTTTGGAGTTAAAAATTAATTTGTATGTAAAACATTATAACAAACTAATACATATAAAGTCACATTGGAAGTATTTAATTTATGTTGTAAAAAGAAGTAGGCATGTGGAACTTTAGTAGAAATTAGTAACGCTTTCGAGACCACAATGTTCATTATTAGCAATATTTCATACAAGCTTATGAAAGAACTTTTTTTTCCTGATGATCAGACAGGTACAATCTCCAAAACTTTACTAACATCCTATTATAACATGAACACACAACCGAAGAGAAAAAAAGGATAACAAACAAGTAATGAAAATTAGTATAAATTACGTTCACCACAAAAGAAATTTCTTTTTTTAAACTAACACAGCTAATTTAAAAACAAGATAGAGATGTTGAAAGTACGATGGTTACAAAGAGTGTGTAGAAAGTGAATTCTTCTTCAGAGCTCAGACTGAAATTTGCACCAGGCTGAATTGTATGACCTTTAATAAACTACATCCACAGTGACCTGTTAATCGATGTTATTTGAGTAAAATGTAGGGAAATTTTTCTTTTGGCACTATGAGAAAGTAATTACTATGAATTAAAATTTTGTAGCTATGCCCTACAAATTGCCATAAAGAATTGGAGGGTTTCTAATGAAGAATCGATGTCAGACCACAGAATAATAAGTTTGGACATTGAATCGGATAGGAGAGACCCTATACCATATAGAAACCCTAGAAACATTGACTGGGCAAGGTTCACTTATGGTACAACACAACTTGGGCTATGCAACAGTAAAGAAAACACCAAAAACCTATAATAAGTTAGAACTTGTATTTACAGAACTCGCAGGATTTATAATTGATGCATACGATTCAAGCTGCTCTGTGAAGGAACTCAAAAGAAGAAAAGAACCACCATGGTGGAATAGAGAACTGGGCAAACTAAGAGTCAAAATCAATAAAAGCAAAAATTGCCCCATAACAAGCAACTGGGGTGAGTAAAAAAGGTTACCCATCACAGGGTAAAGAGAGAAAATTTTCCTAAATTTGGTGCAGAAGTCTCCTCAGTATGAACAGCAGCTAGACTACATAAAGCACCAGTAAAGGACAGTGTAGATATAAACACTGACCTGAAGAAAGTAGATGGTAGCTACACAAAAGATGCAAACAAAAAGCAATGCTTCTTCTAAGTATACATTTTCCGGGCAGCACTTCTTTCATGAAATGACACATCCCTAGCAATTATTATAACAAATAAGCAGAGAAAAGAAAACTGGAAGAAAGCAGCTGAAATATGCACAGAGAAAAAGATCCTCTGGGAAATAAATTTTTTCAGCCCAGATAAAGCGCCAGGAATAGATGAGATTCTACCCATAATTCCAACACTAGTGTGCTTACATAGAAGCAGCCTAGCATTAGGATATGTACCTCAGACATGGTGTAGGGCAAAAGTAGTGTTTATACCAAAAGTAGGGGCCTACACTACCCAAATCCTATAGGCCAATCAGCCTAACATCTTTTTTTTACTAAAAGCCTTTGAAAGCTGATAGACAACTATATAAGAATGACAGTGTTGATAGGCAAACCACTTCATCATTATCAACATGCATACAGAGCAGGACGATCAACAGAAACTGCTCTGTACATGCATCCATGAAGGCGTCCCTAGAGAAAAAAAAACATGTAGAAGAAAGTGGCACAAGCTTTAATGGAGTGCAGAAGAATAGCGTGAAAAAACTGGGGATGGAGATCGGAAACCCTGCTTTGGCTAAAGTAAAACAAATAAAAAAATGAAGAGAACTCACAAAAATACAGACATTTCTCACAGCTAGTATGGAGAAGATACTGGGATTTATCCCTCTCCACCATATGATAACGAGGGCAGCACAGAAAACTATTATTAGTATTATCAAAGAAAAACCAACAACAGGAATAAAACTAAAATGGAGAGACAGCAACAACATAATGAATGATCATCCAATACTCATGGCTCCAAGATACGACATGAATAGGATGTTTGAGTTTAACCAAAATTTCCAAATAAACTTAGGTACCCAAAAGGAAAGGTAAAGAGAGAAAAACACCTCGTTTAAGAATGATACCATCACTGGTACATATATAGATTTAGAACTCTAGAAGGTATGGGGGACGATCATTCGGTCATGGAACCAAATACTCACAGTTTTTTCCTACTTCCTTTGATACATTCTATCACTTCTTTCCTTCTGAAATTTGTTAGGAGGTTCTTGCATCGTTTGTGTTCAATGAGTGAATTCCATTGTTCCCTCATTTTCTTTTCATCCTTCTGTCTGAGATATTCGTTAATAGTGTGGATTCCTATGCCACAGAATGGTTCTGGTCCTATCAGCGATACAGCAGCCCCTTTTCTTGCGAGGGTGTCCGCTTTCTCATTGCCTTCTACTCCCATGTGTCCTGGGACCCAGCAGAGGCTGACTTTGTTCTGCGTACCTAATATGTTTCATTTGGTTTTGCAGTTCAGTACCATCTTCAAACCGTGTTGGAATCGACTAATGATATTTGAGCTTATGCTTTGATGGCTGCTTGGCTATCTGACATGATAGCTATGTTCTTGTTTTTGTACCCTTTAGTCAAGTTGAACTGAGTACATTTCTCGATTGTGTGGACCTCAGCTTAGAAGATTCTGGTGTACTTTCCCTTGGGTTCTGAGTATTTGGTTCCAAGACCGAATACTCCTATCCCTGTACCTTCTTGTGTTCTAAATCCATCTGTGTACTAAAAGCTAGTGCCGTTCTTAAAGGAGGTGTTTTCCTCTCGTTCCCATTCGTTTTTGGTACCTAGGTTTATTTGGAAGTTGGACGAACAATGTAATTGTAGAAGAGATTCAACCACTAAAACCAGGCCTAATAATCAAGTTCCTTGATGAACTAGAACTTACTGGTGTGCTATAAGTACAGAATATGGGATACAATAGCTCTTAAAGCGCATGGTATAATACACACACCGACTAATACATGCACATTTACATCAGTTAAGATGATAAATAAATTGGTTCTTGGTTGAAGAAGTTAGATATGATTTCATTCATCTGTAAAACAGTGTTTGGAAAAAGTTTTTTGCAAATAACTTTAGAACGGTTGCTCACAAATAAAAACCGTTTGCCCATCTAAATTCAACGTCTTTTAAACACATTTACAGTGATGAGTTATTTAATGTTTGAAATGGGTAAGTTCCTATCCGTTATCTTGGAGAGTTAGATTAAAAAAAAATTGTTTGCCTTCTCCATAAAAACGGGTGAATCTTCTGAATCCTTGGTCCTACAACAAATTTCAACATGTCGCTAAAAATATACCTTACCATGTTTTCCATTTTATTTATAACAGAAATAATGCAAATATTTAGACATTTTAAAATAGTAAAAACTTCACTTATTAATACGATTCCCGACGATTTATTCAAGGTTGCGATTCGGACTTAAATTGTACGAGAAAATTAAGCAAGATTGTAAGAAACGTGATGATAAAGGGGGTGGAGGGTTTGGACAAACAGCAATCAACAGGCATTCCCTCACAATTTATGCCGTTTTAAAATTTGGAACCATTAAACTAGCGTCTATAAAATTTTCTGCCATATTTTCCTTTTTTCCTTCTAAACTATCTTTTGCTGAGTTATGTCTTCTTGAAAAATGAAATAACTCAGCAAACAACAATTTTTCGACGTTTTTGACGAAATAAACTTCCCTGATGTTAAAACCATTCAATAAAATCGTCGATCTTCGACTCTGGTTTTATTTGTAAAAAGTTTGACGTGTTTTAGCATGGCAACGTGACCTCAGTAATCTAAATAGCGTGCCGCCGCCTAACATTTGAGCCACTTCACCCTAATGAAATTAGAGAAGCTTTTACTCGAACCTGGTAGAAATTCAATTCTCTTAATGAGTTTGCACCTTTTGCCTATACATAGTTGTTTGACCAAAGTGAATACTTCACAGCGTTTTTAAAGTATGGGGAATAAAATTGTGACTTTTACAGAGGAACAACTTGAGGACTATGAGGTGATTTAGTAGTTTTTTTAATTGGTTAACTAGTCATTCTTATAATATTCTTGCGTTTCTCGTCGATTTTGTTGCAATGCACTCAGTTTAATTTTTTGTGTAGTTTTTTCATCAAACGTATTAACACTAAACAATTATTAAAGTATTATTAGTACGAGTATTTAACTCTGGACACCAAGTACACTGATTTCTCTAAAGCTTTTGATATAGTAAATCACACAATACTGTTAAGGAAATTAATGGATTATGGCTTCACCGGAACTTTCTTGAATTGGTTATCCAGGTTTCTCTCCGACAGAAAACAAATAGTCAAAGTAAAATAATTTAAATCGTGTCCCTTTGTGGCTTCCTCGGGAGTCCAGCAAGGGTCTCATCTCGGACCGGTTTTGTTTCTCTTATTTACTAATGATATCCATCTTGCTCTCCCTTATGCTCAGTTTTTATAATTTGCTGACGATCTGAAAATCTATTCCAAAATTACTTCTCCTTTGATTGCTTTCAATTACAAAATTCTATCAATAATGGATAGCACCTGGTGCTCTAATAACAAACTTGCTCTCAATGTCTCCAAATGCTACACAATTACATTCTCTCATAAGAAACAACCTTTTCTTTATCACTACACTCTCCATGATTCTCTTTTAACACGAGTTGAGGTTGTAAAGGATCTTGGTGTACTTTTTGATCAAAAGCTTAAGTTTAAAGAACATATTTCTTGAATAAAAAATAGATCTATGAAGATGCTAGGTTTCATCATCTGGAACACCTATGAATTTAAAAATCCTCTATGTTTTGTCCATCTTTATAAAGCTTTTGTACAACCCATTGTAGAATACGCTACACCTGTTTGGAACTCATACTGTGTAAATCACCAAAAAATTCTTCAATTTGTACAAAACAAATTAAAAAAAAAACTTTCTTTTAAACTCAATTTTCTGAACTCTGCCTACACTGGAATCCGATCTGAATTTAAACTTTTTGAACTGGAACTAAGAAGGGATTACTTTGATATTGTTTTTGTATTTAAATTATTAAACAATCTCATTGATAGTCCTTATCTCCCTCTCACCTACAGCTAGACGTCCCTTCGCACTCTCTCAAAACCCACAAACTATTTTATATTGAATTCCAAAGCTCTAACTACATGCTCTCTTCTCCTCTACACCGAATAACAATCAAGAGTTACAACATCTGCAATAGCATTGACTTCTTCAATAGTTCTGTGCAATCTGTGAAAAACCATATCCTCCAACCCTACTCTAGTTGAATTTTCTTACCAGTTTATATTTTTTAAATGCTTTTATATTTCATACTGTTAAAAGTTTATTGCAATTTATTTCATTTACTGGTTCCCCTAAATCTTGCATTCTAGTCTTATTATGTATCTACAAAAAGCATTATTTTCATTAAATATGTACCTAAACATTGTAGTTTTAATTGTCTTTCAGTATTATTTTGTTTCCTTTGCCTTAATTTGGTTAATAATTAATTGTCTTTCATTTTTGTTGTTGTTCAGTTTTTACTCTTTAATTGCGTTTTTATATTTATCATTTATATTTACCATTTATAATATTACCATGCATATATGTCCTTATTCTTTTTGTATATATTATTTGTATTTTTTGCATATATTATTTTGTATATTATTTTTATTTTTTGTTATTGTAAAATGTCTTTTTATAGTGGATTTTGATCCGTAAATAAATAAATAAAATAAAAAATAGATGTCCAGTAAACATACCATGACCTGCCAAATGACCAATTGCAAAATTTTGAATAGATGGTTTTTCACATTTGACTTTATGAATTTTTCTATTAAATACATACAATTATTTTTACATCATTTATTTGTATTTTTAATTGTTAAATCTGATAAACACATGTAGCCTAGCGTTATTTACCATGACAGGTCATTTCGATAAATATTTACTGTAATTTTCAAGATAAATATTTACTGCCTTATAAGAGTATTGTATTTGAAAATCTAATGCTAATTCACATTCTATGTAGTATATGAGTTTGTGGTACACTTCTGCAAAGACTGTTGCACAGTAAGCTCAATCAAATTGAACGAATTAAAATGAATGAGTGAATTAAAATTTCAATAAAGTGCCTAAAATTTCAAGTTGCAAGTATCATTTTAGTGGAAAGAAAAGGTTAAAAACTAAATACTGTTGGTAGCTAGTTTACCTATATATAATTTTATTTATTTATTTTATGCCGAAAATGTTATACTGAAACTCATAGAACCATTTACCAGTTGTGGAAGAACCATCACTATGTTGAACTATGACAATGTTTTTGGTTGACTCAGGTCAAGATAATAAATAAATTTTCTAATATCCCTGATTTAGCAGGCATAAATGCATAAATATAAGGAAACGGCAAGAGAAAATATATCGAAACAACATGTTTTACTCCAGTCAGCAGTAGAACTTGCTGCTGATTATTGACATGCCAAAGAAGAACAAATATGAAAAGGACATCGATTAATTCTATGGCAAATTATAATAAGCAGTAAAACATATCAAATAAATATTCTAAAGACAATAAAACTATAAAAATTTGTTCTAAATGTATGAAATATGTTTGTGGAAAATTTGTTGAAGTCGTGAGGAGTGGTCAAGAATTTTGTGGAAAATGTACATTGGTACCTTCTTGAATTTGCAAAAAATGCAATCTGCAATGAATTACCTGTTTTTAATTAAAAAAAAAAAAAAATAGTAATAGAAAAAATACATTTAGGTTTAATTATTACCTTAAAGTTATTTTTTAAATAATTCTTTACCAAAATCAATATTTCTCCATTCAATTGGGAAAAATAACGTTCTTACCTAAAAACTGGTCATTTGACCAGTTGCGATACAATAGTTATATAATAAATCTCAGCATGTTTAGTGTTAATTTGAAAAGTGGTGTCAAATACAAAAGGGTCTATGTACAAATTAAAATGAAAATTTGACTGTTCAAAACAATTAAACTTTTGAACATTTTACAACCGTCAGCCTTTTTCTGTCATTTTCTTATATTAAAGTTACATACATCTTATGTGTATAAGGTTTTAAATCTTCCCAACCACCCTCTTTATAAAATAACAGCGCTAGACTATTGGATATTGGATTAGATTATTGGACAAAAAATTGCATGATTATCCTCCTGGAATGCTTTCGTTCAATTCTCATCTCAATCTCAATGCCAATTCTTTTCTGTATAAGCTTAAAGAAAGGCCTTTTGCTTTCTAACTCGATCCAAAATATCCATGTTTTTCACACTGACAGTTATTTGGCTCAGAATTCCTCCAGATTCTTACTATATAAAGATCTTGGTTTTAATCACAACTTCTTTAATATGTCTGAGAATACAGCAATTTCTTCCATTCATTTTGTTCATTGGTTTTTTGAAATTAGACATGAATTGCTTCCCTTTAATTACAACCATACAAGAGATAACAGCTCTTTGCTATTTATGCAACAATCAGGCTAGACAAGACACTTTTCATTTTTGGCAGAATGTCCAATTTTATCTGAATTCAGAGTGAAACATTTAGGTTTACCCACGATAAGGAGAGAATACTTGATCTCCTCTTTAAAAATCTCATTGTTTCAGTTTAGTCAATTTTGCTAAAGAAGCCTGGAGCTTTATTTAGATTTTTTTAAAATCAATTATTATTTTCTAATATAAATTGGTTTTCTGCAGTAAATTTAAAATAAATCTACTCATCAAGATGAGTTATTTAATTTTCACCACATTTGTTTTGAAACATATTAATAAAACCGACTTAAGACAGTGCTTTTTTTTAAATGCAGGACTGTACATTTTTTACTAGGAAGGAAATTTTACGGTAAGTACTTGATTTGAAGTTATACAAGTAAGATTTAGTTCAACAATGTCAAACAATACATGACATTGTCAACACTTTAATACTAATTTAGTTTTATATAATATAGTACCTAGGTGTTTTGATTAGTTGCTGATATTATGGTGGAATTAAATTCTTTTTCAGTGTGCAAAAGAAGTTCTTTAGTATAAGCAATAACACAGTACCCAAGTCAATGATCAAAAATGAAGCTTCAAGAATTGCCATACCATTGAATGTAATAGAAAAATTGCCTGAACTTAAGGTAATTTGTTGTATTTTAATAACAAATGTGTTGTGCATTTTTTAAAATTTTATATATGCATGATTTGTTTGTTTTAAACTAGGAAAATCCATTCAGAACAAGAATTTGCCAGGTGTTTTCAAAAGATGGTTCTGGAGATCAAACGTTCGAGGATTTTTTAGATATGTTGTCAATATTCAGCGAACAGGCCACAAGAGATATGAAAGTGTTCTATGCGTTTAAAATTTACGGTGCGTATTATTAATTGAAATATCATTTTATGCCACTTGACCCCTTTTGATCATCTAGTCTCTGCATTTTGGAATTTCACTATTTTCTATTAGGTGTGTGTTGGAGCAATAATAGGCAAACCATGATGTTCAGGGTACAGCTAAATCATCTCCTCTCAACCTTATTTCATATCTCTTGATAAGCAATGTACGTTTTAAATTAATCTAAAGCATCTTACAATATAAATAACCATAAAAAACGAATCTCTGGCAGACTGAAAAAATACAACATAATTATGAGTTTAATGACAAAGAAATCATTAATAAAGACAAGTTTAGTGAGTTTACTACAACAAAAAACTTTGCATCAGTCGTGTGTATTGTAATATTCTATAAGAGTATGCTAATTGAACTAGTTTTCTATGGTTTCTTTCACATTTACTTCCCAGTAAAGTCTTGATGGTTAATTATTGCTTTTTACAATATGTAATCAAAAATATTTCATGTTCGAATTGTTTGAAACAAAATTGAACTTCTATGAGTAATTCTTATGATGTAAGGGTGTATATATAAATAAGAAAGGGTATAAATTATATAAATTTGATTATAACATTGGATATTAACCAGTTCTAATAACGTTTGATCTCTTAATTTTTCTGCACTGAAGTCGAATCTTATATTTTGAGATACTTAATCAAAAGGTAGTATGTATATGTTCTGAGAACTGTAGTGGGAAAATAGCGAGGTTATGCTCATTTATAAAGTCATATGGGTATCAAAATGTGTTCATCACACAAAAATTGTGGGTTTTAAGGTTAGAAGTATTCATAATTATCTAGTTAGAAAACTAATTCAATTTAGGTTACATTTAATGTGAATTCATATGAAATCAATTACAGATTTTGACAATGACAATCACATCGGCTGCGAGGACATATGCACAGCTCTTCGTTTACTAACTCACAATGAGCTGTCTGTTGAAGAAATGGTGCAAGTGTATGAAAAAGCTATGGAAGAGGGCGATGTAGACGGAGATGGTAAACTTTCTTTCATTGAATTTCACCATGTGATCTTGAGATCGCCTGAATTTTTTTCTACATTTCACATAAGGATTTAGTTAGCATATTACCTAACCAATTAAAATTCCTTGTAATTAAAATGCTAGGTATTTTGTAAGTTAATTGCATAATACTTATTAATTTATTGTTTTCCACTTTTCTTAAAACGTGTGGTGTTTAGTGACCATTAGACAATGATTATTCGGAGATCGTGAGGTGCGGTCTGCACCAGACAATCTTCAAATAATAATTTTGTTAAAACTATAATTATCTTCTTATTGTGCAAATATACTTTATATGTTACTAGAGTTGTTTTTTTACTTTCCTAATTTTTAATCTATATTGAAACAAAGTTGTCAACTATTATATGTTGAATTATGTCAGTTGATAATGTTTAGTAAATGCAGGAAGGGTTAGATGTGAAAGAAGAATCGTTGGTAAAAATATTGTCAGGGGTTTTCCAGCCTTCAGGTGCTCTTATCATCCCCTTCTGAAATATATTCCCAATTCATAGCACAATCATCACACTTTTTTCAAATATAGATTTGGACAAATAACTAGTGAACTTCTAGTTGTGAAGAAAGACAATGAACGAAAAATGGAAGAGAAGAGTAATTCAACATGTTTATTCTACAAAGACTACCAGTTGGACGAGAAATGTCAAACCACTTTATAATACTTTTCTAAAATTACTCTCATTTAAAATTTATGCACTATGCTGGGATCGGAGCCCATACCCCGTAATGTGTCAAATGCAAAAGTCACACATTTTAACCACTCCACTTGATGTTTATTAGTGTAAGAAAGCGGTTGGAATTTTATTCACAATCTGAACACTTGTAGTTATAGTGTTAAGTAAACTGATTGATTAATCATAACAGAGAATGAGTTCACATTAGTATGTGGTTTGTAAAACTATAAAACATAACCAACTAGACACATTTCCTTTAATTCTTATTGATTTTGATAAGATGAACTATTCCATTTAACTACAGTATATTATGCTCCAAATACACCCCAAATCAATGGCATCATGAAACATTGGCACATAAAAAAGTTACTTCAGTAAAAAAAGTTATGTAATTCCTGTCAGTCAGGAGGGCAAGATGTCAAACCACTTTACAATACATTAATCAATTAAAAAGCCATGGTCCTACCGAGATTTGAATGTAGAACCGCTAGCATGGCAAATACGAGTCGGACACCTTAGCCACTTGGCCACCATGTGTACAAGTATTGTTTTATTAACAAATTATTTCATCCATAGATCTGACCTTTAATGCAATTACCTTTTGCATCCTTTTGTGGACTGTATAGAACACACTAAAAAAAAAAATTGTTTGAACAATGAATTTTCAAAATATTCAACACAGAATATTTGTGCTAAATCAATAAACAAAAGAAAAGAAATATCAGAGTTCCAAATTTTGGCTGGTATTCTTAATTTCCAAAAAGCTTTTGACTTCCTTTTTACTCTTTACAACGGAGAATAAATTATCAATATGTGAATTTAATTAGAACTGATGTAAGGTCAATATGTCTTTTGAAGGGCAAAATTGGCTCAACATTCTGAGAAAGAAATCCAACATAGCGATCCACTCCTTTCCTCATCAATGGTGCCTCCAAGATGGTTTCCATTGCACTGGAATCAAAGAAATAAAAGTGAGAGGAAGGAACGGCTACTTGCAATTTATGGATGACCTGCTTATAGCCACCTTGGTTACTCAGGATGATACTCAGTGCAACTTTGCAAATTCTCGACCTTTAAATCAACAATGACAGGAGAGGAAAACACTATCTTTCTAAATGACTAACATATTGAAGGAAAGCATATTGTATAGTACAAAATGCTTTGGCAGAAAAAGTTCTTTCTGAAAATGTTCCAAACTCATGAAGAACAAACACATAAATACCAAGAATGAAAATGGTGGAGAAATGTGTTTTTACAATCTTGTCCTTCATAAAGATGAATATTAGTCATTAGCTGAAACCCTTCTTCTGATAGCCAAATTACCTGTTCATAGTTTCCATGGCACTCTTTTAAGTTGGTTATCTTCTTATCTTACCTCTAGAAAACAATATGTTAAACTAAAATCCTATTATTCTTTTCCTTTTCTTGCATCCTCTCAGGGATCACACTTAGGCCCCTTTCTATTTAACGACTTCATTAACAATACTGCATCTTTTCTTAATGTCACACACTGTCTCCTAATCGCAGATAACCTCAAAATATTCCACAGAATTCATTCTGAATCTAACTGCGTTCATTTATGGTCCAAACTAATTAACCTGGAAAAATGGTGCATCAACAACTATATGACACTGAACATTAACAAATACAATAGAATCTGTTTTAGCAGACTTAAATCTACTCTATCCTTCCCTTACTCCAAGTAGAGTGAAAATTATCAAAAAATGATCAAAGCTCTTGGTATTCACTTCGACCAATCTCCCTCTTTTAATCACCATATCAGCCTACCAGCCAATAGAGCAAACAAATTATTATTCTTTATCTGTCACTACTACAAGGATTTTAATCCATCCACTTCTACTCTTATATACATTTCCTTTGTTTGTTCCCTATTAGAATACTGCTTCTTAATCTGGTAACTTCATTACAACACCTACATTAAATTAAAGCAAATTCAGCACAAATTCCTTAGTTGAATAGGCTGGAGCAAAATGGGTATATCCTATTATGATTTCCCATTTACATCCTGCAGCAACCTGTACCATTCTCGTATCAATAGACTGCACAGACTTGGAAACACAATTAGTAACAATATTGTCTTCTTTAACAACTCTAGCGACTAGCTAAGAAATTTCTTAAAACCTATCCTATGGCATCTACTTTTCTTTCATATTCTTATTTATATTCAAGTATTTTATTGTAGTAATATTATAGGTATAATTATTATTATAGATATATTTAAAAACTAGAGGAAAAGTGATTAATTTATGATAACAAAACTAGCTAACTTCAGTTCAGTAATGAAGTTTCTTTTATTTTAAGAAATAAAATATGAACAGTCAACATATATGCAATCCTTAAAGCATGATACAATATAATAAAGTGTTTCCTTTTACATTGTAAATTATTAACCTATGGTTATGGTTTAAACTATCAATAGAAAAGTGTTTAAACTACAATAAAATAAAATAAATATACAATGAGTTTTTAAAACAATAACATTCCATAAATTTTGGTAAATGTAACAAGAAATATCTATCTGTCAGTTAAATAGTTTATGACTAAGCAATTATATCACTGTAAGTTAAAATACGTTTGTTGTAATTTTTAATTAAAATATTTGTTTGATTGACTTATTATAGTAGAAAAGGCACTTGATCTAAATAACAATCATAAAAATTACATACCAACAAACAATTTAAATGGACACTTCTGTTCAGTCGTAGTTAAATGTATGTAGGAGAATTTTCAAGGCATATGTTGCATGCTTTACAGTTCTTCAGACCTTTTTCATTTACAAGTGTACAATTAGGACATTGGCTTCCACCACTTATAAGAGGTTGAATCTCATTCCCTTGAGTTCGACTTTTGTTACACATTTCACAAATTGTGAGATTAATATTGTTATGGTACGTGCACGAATAACATGCCCAGAAATCATTGGTTTCTTCATGAAATGCACTAGTGCTATCTTTGGACTGTTTGCTTTTATCAGTGTTAGCAGGCTGACTGGCTTTGCTTGAATCAACCACACTGTAATCTTTTGCCTTTTTTCTGGCACTGACGTAAGTCTCTTGTTTTGAACATGAGGGCTCAGATGAGTTATGTTTCGAGGAAGTTTCATTTAGGCTCAGAGGCTCTAGAAGATTTGACGTTACATCTGATAATTCATTATTTTTAAAAAAATTACTGTTGGCACTCTTATTGGAATTGTACCTCCAATGTAGATCACATCTTTCATCTTTTGATTTGTGCTTATAAGAATCTTCATAACTGGAATGCTGTCTACTGCCATGATCTTTCACATCTGAAATGCTCCTTTTATGCAATCCACTATTTGAGGAAGGTGATGGTTCAAGTTCTATTAACTTGGCAGTCGGAACAGAACAACTATATGGCTTAGTATTAGAGGAAATTTCATAATTACATGTCGTGTAATATCCATTAGGAGAGCAAATTGGAAAGTGTGGAACCAATGGCTGAGATAAATACGTTCCATATAATGGTTGAGCTCCTTGCATATATATAGAATGAGGTGATACATGAGGATGACTGTATCTATAATTAGTCGAACAACCTACATGGTCAGGTGCGTATTTGGTGTACATATCTCGATAATAATACTGTTGGGCAATATTTATTAGGTCTTTTGTTGCTTCTTCTGGTGAACAAATATGGGTCTCTCGATAATGCAGAACATCAAACCAAGTGCAGTATCCAACAGATTTGATCATATTTTCAATTATTGTCCTCATTATCTGAAATAAATAAATATAATAAATAAATGTCTAAAAATATATGTATGTATTTGAAAGGAATAATGCAATCAGTGGCAAGTTAAAAATGCATATGTAAATATATATATATAAAATATATACATAAAATAAAATGCAGCTTGTTTCTTAACTTAATGCATAGAATAATTCAGAAGAGAACAGATTTCTTTATTAAATCTGCGCTTTGTATGTTTTTGTTTTTATCAATTACCATTTGTTAAAGCTCACTCAACCAAAATAAAAAATATTGCTACTTATAAAAATAGAAAATACTTAGAAAAACACTACTGTCAATTAATCTTTTTGGGACAGATGTTCTGTCTGTGCTGCTGCAAGCCCCCCCCCCAGCCTAATTATTTTGTATTATGCATTGAATTTCAAAGCATTCTCTTTGAATTGCTCCTTTTATGTCCCACCAATCCCATTCGAAATTTGACAGTATATCCTTCCAATATTCTACTTTACAACGGTTACAACTGAAGTTAGTAAATGTTGGGGGGGGGGAAACAAGTCAAATTTAAATGAAAATTTATTGGACTCAAAAAGTCTTTTTATGTATTTTAAAACATAATAACCAAAAAACAAAATAAACACTGATTACTGATTACTAAAACAAAATTACACTGATTTAGCTCAACTCAGCACACATAAATACCGACACAAATATAGAGTTGAAAAAAAGAAAGAAATCAGTTGTGTCGCAACCTTCAAAGAGTACACATTCTCTACAGAATACAGCTGTCGCTAATCCTTTGCCACACCAACACATAAGTACAATTTACACTACCTGTTGTAAAATACCTATTTTTTTTCTTTTATTATTAATATTATATATTAGTCATATTTCATACATTAATTTCCCACTTTAAGTCTAAACTGTTGGAAGTGCTCTAGGCGACCAAATGAAAATGTCAGCCTCAAGCAATGGATTCGATCTGATTCCTTCTAAAATTCTACTCCAGGTTGTGAATCGTGAATTCAATCATTTTACAGATAGCATTCAAATCTTGTAAGGTCCGTCCCACTCACTATTGTCTCTGTTTACATACCTCCCTCAGAAAATATATCTTACCAGGAATGGAAGCATTTCTTCCATAATCTCCAAAAACCTTTTGAGGTTGGCGGGGACTTTAATGCACACTACATTGCTTTTGGGTCTGAGTGGTCTGATAAGAAAGGGGAAAATTTACTAAAAGCGATAGAAGATAATATAATTCTTGCCAATGACAGATTGCACACTAGGATAATGACACCTAAGTCCCAAAGAAAGTCTGCAGTTGACATTACTGTGGTTTCATCAGACATTCCTCCGATAGAAATATGGGAAGTTCTCCAGGACCAAAGTTCTGATCATCTCCCATTTTTTTCACTCTTTCAAAATCTGGTACTACAGGCCCTCCTCACAGGGTTTTCTGTAAATGGTAAACAGAAAAGGCGATATGGAAAGATTACAAATCCTTTTGGGAGAAAGTGTGTCTTGATTGTCAAACATTAGCCAAAAAACTATTCTCATAAACAAACCAGTGTACTCACAAGGCTGACCTCTGACGAAGGTATGGTGGAACTCTGAGTGTGAGTTAGTTATAAAAAAAAACCGTAATAAAGCTACAATGATGACTTTGAAGCGCTTAAGGTTCTCCTGAAAGAATCAACAATACAATAGGTGGCAAAATCATGTACTGGGAAAAAGTATTGCTCTTCCTTAAATACGACTACTCCAATAAAGGATATATGGAGTAGACTAAAGGTCATAAGCAGTGGATCACTCTGCTCATCTACCACTCAGGTTTATAGAAAATGGATCACAGACTTCATAAGCAACTTGTGCCCTTCTGGATCAATTAATCAACTGGAGCTTGAAAAGACTCAAGTGTTGAGTAATATAGATATGACCTTTCCTTTTAAGATGTTGGATATATATATATTCTGAAAATCACTGTGAATGTAAATGATGTAAAATTAAAACTAAGGCCAATTGGCAGACAAAAGGTAAAAAATCAGAAGGCTAATAGGGTGGATGGTGGGAAGGTCAGGGGCGGGAGGGAGAAGAAAGTACGACAAAACATTCCAAATTAGGCATAGATATTCTGGCCGAATGGTTTTCCAGAAAAAGGAATGTGTTGCAATTTCGCACAAGTTTGAGTGAGAGACTAGGAGGACGGAAAAGGAGGGGTGTGGATGATCTCCATTCACTAACGAGGTGTCTGCTACATATTGGTTAAAACCTCAGCCCAATAAATGCCATGAGTGTTCAGCTATGGCTCCTAAAAGGCAAAAAACCAGGAGGGCGAGATAACTCGTCACTAGGCCTGGGAAGCGTACAAGCCTTAACAAGATAATTCGTCAATAGCCCCTAAAAGGTTAATTGCTGTAAAAAAGCACTGTGAAGTTCTTACCAGCTTACAGATTATCATTTAGTAAACAATATTGATATAATGACAATAACTTCAAATCAATTACCTGACATTCAACCAATGCAATAAATGAATCTTTGGAAACCTTCATAATTTGTTCTTTATTGACAGGGCCATTAAGTCTCATAGATCCGCTTCCATTAGATTGATAACCCATCAATTCAAGAATTATTTCTCCTCCAATCAAGCTAGCTTCGATGTGATGTTTATAAAAGCCACTATATGTCTAGAATAGAAAGGACATTTTTCTCATAAATATTATTTATATTTATTATCAATACACGTGTATGTATGTAAATATAAATGGAGTGTTTTTTTTTAACTTTTAATGTAACCACACATAAATGGCAAACTGATCACTATTTTACAACAATGTTATTAAACTGTACATGTCATGCTTTTATTTGGTGTCAATGATATCAGTCTTAAACTCATAAGGGGAAATGGTGGGCCACAGATTTGGACCAAACATTTTTTGTAGATTCTACACTCCAAAATATCAGATACATATCCCCCCACTTTTTGTGAATAGGTCCTGGTTTCGCAATTTTTTTTTTGAGAGTTGAAATTTTCCATTTTTAAAATTCTTATTTTGCCATTCTCCTTGCTCAAATGAATGTTGTGAATATATCATTGTACAGCATTTTTTTATGTAGATTGCAATAAAAATTTAGTAAAAGCTATCAAAGTTTATCAATAAAGAAAAAATTGCTGAAAACTAAATATTTTTCAAATAAACTAGGTGATAATTTTTTTGTGAAACTAACATGAAATTTCGTTACATGGTGATCCTAAATATAAATTTTTGTTTGAATTTACATTTATGTATTTTTTGAACCCTAAAATTTTTCCAATTTTTGAGATGTCGTAATCGAAATTTTTTTTTTGAAATGGCTATAATTCCAAAATGGCTTAAAGGATTTTAACACAGACTATTTGAAAGAAGAGGAACATAGCTTTCTAATGATGTATGTACAAGAAAAATATACAGAATAATTCTATAAGAAAATACACAAAATATCAAAATTGTCAGAATTTGTTTTTAAATGGAAATAATAGGCCAATTTTAATTATTGATATTAGAAGACTATTCAATTTGGTATGATTTATAAAAAGATAAATCAACAAAATACTGTTGTTTATGCATATTTTAGCAAACATTCTGCAAGCAAAGTAAGGCAGAAAATGATCAAAACTTGGATTTCACCTCATTGTCGTGATTCTAGTGTCCCCCTTAGACACTGACTTTAGCAGAAATCACTAATTTTATGACTGATAATTGCAACGATCTTCTTTCTGCCTGACTGACATCCCTAGAACAAACTCTAATATCATTTTTCTCAATAGCTAGGAAACCGATTTTCATAGTTGATAATTTGTTTTAAAGAAATTGTCAAGTGCATTTCATAACTGTATCGAACAATAAAATCAAACTATTATTTCAATAAAAAAAGAGGTTAATTTCTGACAAATAATTTTTCTATAGAAATCTTTTATATATACATATCTTATGGTACATATATGATTAAAAAGCTATTCCTCTTCTATCAAATGGTGTGTGTTTGACGTTAAAATCCTTTTATTCGTTTTTAAATTAAACCCATTTCAATCAGAAATGGGTTCAATAACGACATCAGAAAAAAAACAAATTAAGATCTAGTTAACTTGAAACATTTTTCGTTTTAGAAAGTTTTTGGTTATTAATTGGATAAACTTTGATATCTTTTACTATATTTTTATTGCAATCTACATAAAAAATACTGTAAAATGATATATTCCACAGTTGATTTGAGCAAGATAAACGACAAAATAAAAATATTAATTTCAACTTTCAAAAATTTTTGTTAGTGAAACCAGGGCTTATTCAAAAGAAGTGGTGGATACGTGTCTGATATTCTGAAGTGTAGAATCAGGAAAAAAGTTTGGCCGAAATCTGTCACTTCTTCAAATTTGCCTTTCCCTGATCATTTTTTCATATTTATAATCAGGCTTTTATATCATGTGGTTAGACTAAAAGAGAGCAAAATATTGCAAAAAAATCCTATTACTAGACTATTACAATTATTGTTTATATAAATTTATGTATATGTACAAAAGCTGCAATTTAGTTGTTACTGTTACAGCTTAGAAACTTGAAGTAAAAAAGTAAAGAAATAATTAATGTCGTTAATAAAATAACGGTAAATTTCATATTAATATTTGAAAATGGCAGCACAATAAAAAAATGAAGAAGAACAGACAAATACTTCAGGTGAAAACACAAGAAAAGAATAACATAGAGGTAGCTTCCCCTCTCCCATAATCTTAAAATCTACACTTTACGGTTTTTTAAATTTATTTTTTAAAGTTACTTAACTTCCAAAACCCAAAGTTATACTACTGCTAATGATTCTACATTTTAGTTGAAGCTAAATGCTTAAACTAATTGAACAAATATCATTTGACAAGAATCAGAAAAATACCAGTTTTGTTTCTATAAATCTTTTTTTTTATATAGTTTATTTTTAGAATTATAAAGTATGCCCACATGACAAGGCTAACAATGGATTTTGCTGGCAATAGTTGCAGTCCCTAAAAAATAATTTCAAATACTGCTTACAAGATATTTCTGCATTTCAAAACAACCTAACCTACTTACAAAATGGGCTTTTTTCCAAAGCACTGGAACCCCAGGAATAGATATGTCTACTGCTGTTACGAATTCCATAAATAAAACTAAAAATACCAACTTTTATTATTTTTTATCAAGTTATTCTTAATTACACATATACTCAACTGATTATACACAATTTTTTCGAAATGAAAAATCTGTGCCACAAGCAGGATTCGAACCCATGACTTTTGGTTAAATACACTGCTCTACCTCTTGAGCTACTGTGACTTCAATCACCCATGTCACAAATTTCTCATTTCGACTCCCCGTTTATTCCAATTGTAAGCAATTTGAGGCTTCATGTAGAAACACATTTTATTAACGATTGGACTACATTAGCGGGACTGTGTGCGATCCACAGGCGTGATTCTATTCTTAATTACAGATATACTCAATGAATTATGCACAATTTTTCATTTTGAAAAAATTGTGTATACTTAATTGAGTATATGTAAAAATAAAAATATTATTTCAAAGTTGAAGTCCATTTGGTTTACAGGCAACCACGTTAAAGGAAAAATTCAAGCTTATTTATGAGTTGAAATGAACTTCTCAGAAATATCACACCAATTTGAAAAACTTTATTATTGCTATCAATTATACAAATAAGACATTCATTAAACACTATACATAATGAATTCAGTGTGTTTTCTTCTCTTTTGCCCCGTTTTATCTTGGTGTCAGGCTGATGAATAAAGTTAAATCAGGTAAATCTATAAATTGTTTTTATCAATTTAATAACTTGCATCTGCACAATCTATATAATCGTGCTTTTCTTTTCACTAAAATTTAACTGAATTCATATCATTCAAGAGGGAAGTATATGATAAGCGATGTGAAAGATGTACATAAATATATCAGACAATAATTTTAAAATAAATTTGATAAAACGTATTAACTCCTACCTCTCAGGGATTTATTTTTTTACTTTGGATTTAGACATATTGTACTGAAGATTTCAGTTTTAAAGAACTAATGAAATATTATGGTCTTTCAAAGGTCACATTAATTTTGATCCAGCTTTACCTTTAATCATATTAAATGATGCAAGCAACAGTGAAGTTCTGTACTCGCTTATGAATCTGAGGGCATAGAAAAGCCCATAGGCTTCTCGAACACTTGCATCATCTGAAAAAAGTATCTGCTATTGATAAAGATTGAATCTGGCAATGTTTTTGCCTTAAAAATTTCCTCAATGGATATTTACCAAAGGATTTATTTACCGACTAACTTACTGCCATTTATGATTTAAAAAATCGCCGTAATGAGACAGACGAAGATTGACAAAAACCTCTACTTTTGCATATGTGCGATGGACAAACTTTTGAAATGATTCACCAAAGCATAGTTAAATTGTTGAATTAGGTGTATGTTACAGGGGAAATACACACACACCTCTCGACATGAATTGTAAGTCTCTGTTAGTGTTTGTAACTCCTTCAACCTGATGACGGGTGTTTAATGCTCGCAATCCGTATAGTTGTAAACAACAAATTCTATGAGTAGAACCATCATTTACAAAACACGTTTTTCTGATATTGCCTATTCATTTTTTTTCATACTGATTTATCATTTCACTTGAAAAAAGTTCATTATTTTGTTTCTTTCAATGGTGTGTTCCACACAAGTGATGTATATATTTTTTGCTGGAAAAGGAACATCTCATAACAAAATAGACTTCTTTTATGCTTCTATAAGCAATAAAACATAAAATTGCATAAAAGCTACAAATTTTTGAGAAGAGATAAATGTTAGTTGAGTATAAATTTCAAATTGCCGAAACTCCCAAAATTTTGGAAATCTATAACTAAATGCTGTTAATATGGATATTATAAATCACTGTGTTATTATTATTAAAGGAGTGGTTTTAAATGTAATACATATTTACCTTAATTTCCCTGAATTCTTTGCGCCAAGGTTGCACGATGAGATTGTGGGCATAAGCTACAAGTGCAGACCATGCTGCAGTTGTTTGGTATGCCGTGAAATCTTCTATTTCTTCAACACTCCGATGTAACACTTGGGCTGTTTCTCGAAAATAAAATTTGTCCTTATGAGGGACAATACTTAGATAGTTCTTGATCTGGGCTGGAATTTTATTTTACTTAGTATCTTTGTCGCTGTACTTATATATATAAAATACAAAATGAGATAAATGCGTTACCTTCCAGTTTCTTCTTCTCTTCCAATTTTCTTGGACTTTCCTCCGCTTCCAAATAACTAAGAAGAAGTTTGTCTATATTCTGATGCCACATTTGACAGTCAGATCTAATGTAGAGATTTGCTTAAAAAAATAAAAAATAAAATAAAAAAGGGGGAATATTTGAGTAAAAGCTATTACAACTAAAACTGAATATATAAAATGATTTTAAATATAATAATTATAGTCATTAATATGTAATGATATATTCTTGCACCCACATTATTTTATACCTGCACAAAAAAGGTGTCATTCTCTTAGACAAACACTAGTAATTGTAATAAAACATCTTTCTTACTTTTGCCTAGCATTTCAGAAATCAGAAAAAAAGTGGTTCAGCTATCAACATTACCAAAAGAGTGTAGTTTTAGTGGCCATAAATTAATGATTATTTAGAGATCGTGAGATGCAATCTGATCAACCTGATTAAACCTAAAATTTCTATATTGTGTACATCATTGAATAAATTCATATTCACATCTTATAAGTATTCCTATAATTGAAACAATGTTTATAAATCACAGGCCCTGAAGATGATCTCAATAAAGATCGAAACATTGGCACGACAAAGAAAATGATTTCTAAACCTACATCACACCAAACAGCATCTCACTATCTTTAAATAATCATTACCAAAGATTTTAACCACTTTTTCTTTTGGTGACAAATGTAAATAAATAAGCTGCATTTTTTCTAAAAAGGGTATTTCGAATATGAAGATATATGAACCCTCTGGGTGCCGATGTTTTTGAGAAAAAATCCAATTTGTATATCGGGTTCGAATGCAGCCGCTGGATTTGAACCTGGGATCTGGGAAATGAGCACTGAGCCAATGCTTAAACTGTTCCGGCCTCCAGCACTCCCATAGCCTACATTTTAAAACTGCAAAATGAACAAGTGAAGAAGGAAACAATGTAATTTATAATTGAAACAGTTTATGTCAATGAAGTTTTATCTTTGAACTCTATTGATTGTAGAATGAAAAGTACAATTACTCTTACAGAAGGCTTTGTTGAAAGTTTGGGGGATTCTGGATTTATGCAATGGAATGTTTAAGTTAATTGATTAGAGGAGTTCTGGGCAGTTTATCTGATTATTTAATAATTTATGGAGAAATATACCTTTTTTTTCTACATCTGGTTTCAAGATTGTTGTTATATTGCATTGTGCAAGTGTAAATTATTGCACCTTGAGAAGCGGATATGGAAATGTTTTGAAATATTAAGATTTAGATTATTTAAACATCTATAATGTAGAGAATTTAAATTATTTTGTAGAATTAGAACTCAAAATGAAAATAAACAGGTTTAAAAATCTTTAGATCATCAGCAAAGAGAAGAAAAACGATAACACTAAACAAAGTATAACTGTTAAAAGAAACAAAAGAGGGCCTAAGTGAGATCCTTGAGGAACTCCTGAAGTAAATGAGAATTTAAAAGATTCAGAATAATTAACTTTAACAATTTGGAACCTATCTTCCAGAAACCAACAGAGAAGACCAAAAACCATGTGTTTCCAGCTTTGCAATCAAAATATCATGATTGACATTGACACAATTAGTAATAAATGATTTTATTTCATCAGTAAACCAATTCCCAATATATTTTGGGCATTAAAAAGGTAATGTTTTGCATTTTAATATAACTTTAATAATTTTAATCATGTTTGTTAATACGTGTTGTGTCAGAGAGCCGACTGTGGTGGTTAAGTCCAGACATTGGAACACCCAGGCGTTAACTGTCTTGTCTGTTTTCATTACACTCGAGGCCTATGTGTCCACATAGCCAGAAAACAAGCACCATTTTGTTGAGACACTCCACTTCATCACTTCAGAGTATCCCTCCAACAAGAGCACAAGTGGTAGCAGAAGCTCTCACTCTCATAGGTGGCCCTTGAAGGTTAGATTCATAGAAGGGGGATCATCCTTACCCAATTATGAATAGACCATGCACGGTGGATACAGGGACACTTACTTTTGGGCAAAGTGAAGACTAAAAGCCTGCGTATATGTCTGACATGTAGAGAAAGGTTAGTTGATTTGTCCCACTTGATTGAAGAGTGCCATTCCTCGACTCCATATAGACCATATATCAACCAATACAAGAACTGTACTTGAACATGGCCGCAAGTATTTTGGTCCTCTGTTCCAATTCTCGAAGGAACATCACTGTTTTACTGTATATGGTACTCCACAACCCTAAATGAGTGAAAGGTATGTAAATATGAAAGAATATATTTAAAAGTGATTACGAGTGTGAATGCATTTAGGAAATGAATGCATTGGGGCTGAAATCATCTTGCTTTTGATAGCCCCTGGGGCCCAACCTTGGTGGCCGGATGGATAAAACTGAAATCTGCCAGTGATTTATTGTAAATTACACAAAAGTTGGTGCACTGCAAGAAGTGATAGGCTCAACTCTCTACACAAGTGTATGTATGTGCATACGTGTGCAGATTTGAGCTTATACATAAAGACAAAAAATGTTTATTTCAACTTTATGAATTTTTATAATTATTAATTACAAATTGTTATTTATATAGTAGAACCTCGGTTAATCGGCCATGCATTAACCATCTTTCAGATTAACCAGCATAGTGAGAAAAGAAAAAATAGGCGACGATAGAGAAATGTTGCTAAATAAAACCTTTTTGGGCAGTTGAGAAAAATCAGGCGCTGCTTTAAGATAAACAAATATTGTATCACAGTGTTTGTTTAAATGTAATGGGGTCTCACAAACTTCCACTTTTTGTCATCGATAAATTGGCTAAACCACATGCCTTCAAGAATCTGAACCATCATCCCTCCCTATGTACTCTAGGTCACAAAAAATGGCCTGGATGGGTTCACACTTGTTCAGTGAGTGATTTGAATTTCTTTCCAAAGGTAAAAAGTCGTTTAAAGAGGTTAAACTTGACGATCAAAACATTTCTGGTCTTGGACAATTTGCCTGATAAACTGACCAGTGATATAGCTTGCATAAAAATAATTTTTCTTCCCTCTAATGTAACAAGCTTAGTCCAATCCATGGACCTGATATCACCTATCAGAAAAATTACAGAATTGTTAAAAAGGCATTACAGGCATAAATAACAGCAATGGGTTCAACTGCTACAGACTTTCTAACCATGAAAAACGCATTAACTAACCGGCCTAAATGGAAAATGGCCAGTGTCCTAGTCCCGAGGTGGCCGATTACCAGGGGTTCGACTTACTTATTTTAATGTAAACCAAATTAAATGAGATCAGAAATGCATGTGTTTTAATATTATTTAATTGTGATGGTTTGAAAGAAAATTCACCACAACACTGGAAATTCATTTAGTGATTTAGTGATAACCAACAATTTATTACCCGGTTTTGCTTTTAATAACACCTATTGCCTCCTCTGGCCTTGTGGAGGGCCTTAAGCCTCCTAAGCATAATGTAAATAAGCAACCGGATTTCGTCTTGTGAAGTAGAATCCTTTTCTTCAATAAGAGTTGTTTTGAGCAATTCAACAATGGCGAACTATGTTTAACCCTTCTCTTTATAATGTCCCATAAATGGTCAATAGAATTCATGCTGGCCAATTCATTGTGCTGATATCTACATTGACCAAGTATTGGGTGGCACCTCGAGCTACATGTGGTCGAACATTATCATGCATTAACACGAAGTTGTCTACAATAAATGGAACAAGTGGGAGCCTAACTTCCAGAAGAACTTCCTCAAACTTAGTGCAATCAAAGATCCATTTTGTATGATAATCATTCAGTATGGACGTTGATTCAGTACGTCTGTAACTGAAAAGACTGTGACTCATGCATGGCAGTTGAAACAAAGCGTCTCCACGTCTTCTCCACACATGGTCCTGGTTATCTGACTGCCACAAGCCAAACGGGCACTCATCAGTGAAGAGAACTACCTACCCCCCATTGTTCAAGTGTCCAAGCGAGATGCTGATTTGCGAATAGTCTTTTCTCCTATGCCTTTCCAGTAGTAGCAAACCTGATGGGGGACGTCTAAAGACTAGGCTATTCTCACGAAGCCTTCTGATGGCTGTTTTAGAGCTCACCTTTACATTATGGACCATTTGAAGATGACTACCTATCAAGAAGGCGTCAAATGACGTTCCACAGTACATTAAGAGCAATAAAACGATTGTCTCTAGACATTGTAAAACTCAGTCGACCACTACCTACACTTCGATTGAAACTTCCGGTGGACTTAAACCGCTGTAGACCATTGCGGATGGTAGAGTGTGGCACACGTCCATCATTGGCCGTATCATCTGTCCAAGAGAGATCTCAACTTAAAACCATGGTTTTAAGAAAAAACAATTACATGACTAATGAGGAACTGATTTTCTTTATTTTGCATCTAAAGAGTGTAAAGGATTATGAACTCTACAAAAGTAAACAAGTTATTAATGCTGTGTCTATGTTTTAACTCAACTAATAATCTTTATACCTACTTATTAAGGAAAATAAACAAATAAATGCAAGTATCCAGTTTTTGCCTTTGAGTGTATAAATAAGGAATCAGTACTCTAATGATTTTTTAAGCAGACTTATTGTCGAATTGTCTAGTTTATGGTCCAAAGAAAGTTTTAGTTACAAAATAAAATACAAGAAGAAAATGCAAAAAACAAGTGTAAGAATATTTTGATCCGCTTTATGTAAAAAAATGTTAGTTTTATTGAATCCAATGGTGAATGGAGACTTTATTGACTCAGTGTAATCTTAATTTCCGGACGTTGGATTTATTGGCGACAGTGCTCAGTTGTAGTCAATAAGAAAAAATTAAAAATCAATAATCATCCGCACAGGGCTATAATTGTGGTCTATTTCTTGATCGAGCTATGCTAAACCACTGTCAATTCGCTAATTGTCCCTTAAAATTTTGTTAGCGAGATGGGGAAGTCGGGAAATGGGAAAATAGGGCAAATGACTTACCTCGATCCATGTTCGAGTTGTTTTCGATTATTGACTAGCTGCTTGGGACGAGAAAAGTGTTTCGGTCCCGAGTTTTTACATCACGCCTGCCGCCGGGTTTATTTTCGTTCTGAAGAAATCACCGGCGAAGAACATAAAAATATGCTATGAAGTTAATTGTTCTTCAACTGTGCCTATCGATTTGAAACGATTCGTCGGTACGGCCATTTGGAAAGAGAGACTCAATTGACAAAATTGACCTCCTCGCTTCCCTCAGGCCGACTTTCAACACTCGGCCTTTGATAATTTAAAACAAAAACTATTCGAGTTGCAATCAACGCAATTCGAACATATCACAGCAGACTGATTTGAAGTTTTGAACAATGAAGTACACCGACACCTGAGTGTAACTGGACAGTAACCTCAACCTAGTCGACCTAGATTTGTTCGGTGTTCTTTTTTTGGCACTGGCTGTACCAAAAAATTGGTGCTCTTTTTTTTTTTTAAATTTTACACGATCTACCATACAATGCAATTTTCAACGAGAAAACACATGGCTACAGCCAAGTCTATGGAAACACATTCACAATAAAATACCAATTGCATATTGGCGCTTTTTTACAATGATAATTTCAACTTTTAAAATTATAAATAGACAAAGAACACAATGTTTTGTCAGGGGGACGCGAATTTACCATTTAACGTAAATTGGAACATATTGTTTTTTTAACAGTGTTCGGGGTCTTCGAATATTTAAATAGTAAAGCTTCAAATTCTATCACTCTCTCATTTAAGCCGGTTATCCGATGGCTCTATTCTTGAACCTATACTCTTTTCCATGTTCCTAAATGATCTTATATTATTTTTAATTTCTCACAATTCCATTTATAAGCTGATGAAACTCACTTTACATTTAATGCCCTGCATGCAATATCTCTGAAGCTATGTCTGCCTATCCTCTTCTCATATCAACGATCCTATTAATTTGTCTCCTAAAATTAAAAATCTTGGCGTTATTTTGTGGCATGACCATGTATTATTAAAAATAGGTCTACCCAAGCCTTCATTTTCTTCAACACCTTAGCTTTTTCATTCTGCAAAAAAGTTCTCTCTCTTTTTTTTTCTCCCAACAGGAAAAAGGATTACATTTTAAAATATATCCTTAATGAGTCAAAAACCTGGTGGAATAATAACCCCAGGCATGAGGCACACAAAGAGATCCATCGAAGGGCCATCTGCAAAACTTACAAAGGAACTATTTGTTACATTTTAACACTACCCTGAATTCTGAGCTGGTTACTCCTTGTACCTTAATAATCCTGTTTATTAAAATAATGTCCATATAGTTTTATTAGAAAATGCATTCAAAAGGATTAACCAGCGAGAGAGAGAGAAACCTATTAGATTATGTTATTAATAATAAGAAAAAATATGTCTACACCTTCCTTGGGCCTCCTCTTTAGAAAGTATAGTAAGATCTCAGGCCCTCATGTCACTCCAATTTATTAATAGGTTCAATGTTGGATGAACTATTAAAATTTTTAAAAATAGTTAACTTTGATAATTGCATTTAAATCACACTGCTATGTTGTATTTCAAAGTATCATAACAATATTTTCTTAATTCACAATGATTTTCTCAAAACTCAATATATTGGTTAGTAGTCCTACCACTCCTCTGAGTATAGCCCTCTTCTATTGCAGCAGTGAGTTTGCTAGTCTTGGTGAGGGGTTGTTTTAAGTTTACTTTGTCTAGTGCTGCTAGAGTTTATCCACTTCACCTTTTTTTTGGTTTGAGAAGAATTTTATATTTGTTTTTGTTATCCTAAGTATAGTTCAGGGCCTATGAATGGTCCTGCAGATCCTCCTCTGGCCAGTCAGCTTTCTCTTTAACCAAAATTCCTCTGTGCTCTGGTACCCAAGACATCATCAGGTTGTTGTGTTTCCTGAGGTTTTGGAGTATTGGGCCCCATGCTATGTATTAATTTTTTCTAAATATATGTATAAAATGCTACCAGAAAAACATTTCTCATCCTTTGTTGATGAAACTAGTAGTCAAAAAAAGGAAAAATTATTAAGGGACAATATCTATTTGTAGCCTTGCCTTTAAACCAGGCACACAGGCTAAATAGGAGCAAAACACAGGTTGTGTTGCTAAGTACTTAAAAAAAGGCACCAAATAATCCTGTGGCACAGATCGTATCTTGGAGCACATATCGATTAACACCTGAAATTGGAAGAATATTGTAAAAAATTATATGCAAAACTAAGTACTAACTTTTATCTGCTCTGGCAAAATATGTTTGAGAATGGTGATTGCTGCTTACCATGACAGCTTTCAAAGTTATATTGGTTATGCAGTTGTAGAGTGGGGTCACTCAATTGAATGGGAAATTTCTGTCCCACCTGATTTTTAAACAGCAAAGAAAGTCTATAAAATATTGGCAGGGCTGTGCTATAGCTGGACTATATGAAGGCTATAGAATATACAATTTAATATTTAACTTCTACAAAAATAACAAAAATTTAGGAATATTTTTGCCATTAAATCCCTATACTTTGGTCTTGTGAGAAGCAAGCTTGGAACTCTCATTCACCTTCAGAGAGTTTTTGGGTAATATAAAAATCTTTGGGTTGTATTATTTGTTAAAAGGGAGATTTTGAATGTAAATAATGTTAGTTCAGTATAATATGTACTATGTAATTCACTTCACTAATTGGGACATTCCTGCCATGAGATTAATACTGAAGAACAAAGAATCTCGACTGAATGCATAAACAACAATGTCTGCTCTATGCTGTGAAAATTTAAATAAATATGTTCAATCTAATAAATTGAAAACACTTGATACGAGGTGTAAGCATAATGTGAGACGAGAAGCTAATAGGTTGAAAAGGACAGATAATAGTAGCATGTATTTGGGTACGACTGCTTACTTGTCTACGCCTGAAGTCAAGCAGATGAATGTGAAACATTTTAAAAGGAACAGGAAGTTTGAGTTCAAACAAAATTTCCAAACAAACTTAAGTACCAAAAAAGAATGTGAAAGAAGAGAAATCCCTCCATTAAGGAGGGCACCATCTGCTGTACATTGATGGATCTACAATACAAGAATGTACGAGGGCAGGAGAATTCGGACCTGAAACCAAATACTCAGAACACGTGGGAAAATGCACCAGTATTTTACAGGCTGAAGTCATGCAATTGAAATTAGTTCAATTTGAACGAAGTGTATAAAAACAAGAATATACCTATCATGTCAGGATCAAGCAGCCACCAAAGCACTAATGTCCATCCATTAGTCCAAAGATGGTGTTGAATTGCAAAACTAAACTAAACAGGTTAGGTATGCAAAACAAAGTCACCCTTTACTGCATCCCAGGATATGTGGGAAAAGAAGGCAACAAGATCTGACTGTTCCTGCTGTTGCAAGGAAAGGGGCTGCTATACGGCTGACCTACTGCTACCCTTCTGTTACATACAAATTCACACTGTCAATAAGTATCTTGGACAAAAGTACACAATGAAAATGAGGAAACAGTAGAATTCACTCATTGAACACAAACATCCAAGCACTTTCTAGAAAATTTCGGAAGGAAAGAAACAACGGAATGTATCAAAGGAAGCAGGAAAAAACTGTGAACTCTAACAGGGTTATTACCAGGACACTAGACTGAATCTAAAGAAGATTGGTACAATCCAACATGGCACGTGCAGATTCTGTAAGGAAGCGGAGGAAGCACCAGCACACCTACTAACGAATTGTGGTGCCACACAAGCCTGCAGGAGGAAGTGTTTTGGGATGTACAATATAACCGTAGACAAAATTCAACCACTGAGGCTGGGCATTCTAATCAAGTTCCTAAGCACAGCATGCAGGATACAATAGCTCTTAAGGGCACAGTATGCACCAAGTATGTACATCTATGTCTACGTTTTAAATAGACAATAATAAGATATCGTATTGCGAATGTTATGTAAATATATGAACCTGAAATATATATAATATTTAAAAAACATATATACGTAAAACAATGTTAATGTTGGTTATAATACTCTGTTTTATTTTTATTTATTTTTCTATTGATGACTATGTGGAAAAAAAACAAGAGAAGTAACGAAGATTTAGGTGGTAGGATTGATTTTTTTCAGGAGAACAAAAGATTATGACTAAAAGTGACTTTTCTTCCATTCCGTTTTTGAATGTTATATAAATCAACTGAACACTTGAAGTAAAATAAAGTTTGAACCTCAAGAGTTGTTTTTTTTTCCACCCCGCCATCAAAAGTTTATACATTTTTGGAAAAATGATTTTTTATTCAAATAATGAATGTGTGTTGGCTTTTTCACCAAGTCTATTACCTTTATGCTTTAATGTGGATCCGAATTGCAATAAAAATTGCAAACATGAAAAATGGATTGAAAAATCCAACTTTCTTTTTCCGCATAATGATACTTATAGAAACGTTTCAGTCTTACATACTTCCGCGATCCTGCCTTGATTTACAGCTTTGTCTAATAATGAGTAAAGTTGTTTTAAATTTGCTTTTTGGCTTGCACCATTTAAAATAGTCATTTACGGTAAAGGTCGAAATTTATTTACCGAACTTCTGTCGACTCAAACAATCGTTCAATTTGAATCTGCTCGATTAGAAAGTCACGCCGTGGTATTAACCAAATTGTCGATTTAATTTATGTAAATATTTATTTTCAAGACAGAAGCTTGTAGTACAGTGTAAAACATTGTTAACCATACCGACAGACCGAACTAAAAGAACCAAAGGGAAATTTTTCCACTTTCACGACCTCCGAACCGCAAGAGAAGCTCTACATGCAAGACCTCTCCCCATCGTCAAACAACAAATTGAAAATGTATTTTCCTCTATGGTCAATGTTTTATTTTATGAACCGTGCAAAGTAATCGAGATATAAGACATTTTGATAAATCACATTGGTCAAATCATTAAAGTGGTCCTCGATCAGTTCCTATTGTTCAATTTAATTTCAACTGAAATTCTGTTAGAAGCTAAAACGTTGTCCACGCGGTCGAACTCGCCCTTGTGAAATCTTGTGGTACTTTCACTTTGAAATTCGAGTTTATGCATTTTAAAATGCCAGTTGTCTTGGTGAAAAAGGTTAAACAAGAATTCGTCAAATAACAAAAAAAATCTTTAATCGATAGATTCAGTTTGAGTTTTAATGATTGAGTATAAACTTAGATGATTTAATGATTAGATTCTCAATTCAAGCTTTTATTTTTAATAAGATACACATACGTAAATATCTCGTTTGACAAACATTGTTTCGACAACTAATAAAATCAAAATTCGCAGGACTTGACACAGTAACACATATAGCTGCCTCAAATCTCAACAGACTACAAAGGAGGCATCAGGTACAATGATATGGTACACAGAT